GGGCGCCGGCCGGGGGGATCGCCTTTGGGCTGCCCCCTCAAGGGCCGGGAGGCATTTCGTCAGGCATTTCGTCAGGCATTTCGTCGAGGTGGAGCGGCAGGGGGTTTGGTTTATTTCGTTTCGGTTTGGCCGGGGTGGACGTTGTAATCAGGAAATTGTCCCTCAATCCTGAAGGTCGGGCAAGGAGTGAAACTGCTGGAAACGCCAGGTGAAGTTCAGCCGTGAGTTCCCGTGAGACAAATGGAGGGTTGGTTTGCGTGTGGTGGGTTTTTTTAATATTAAAATACTGTCCCTATCGTTCAGAAGGTCTTCTTCCAAAAGCATCAGAACGTTTCAGTTCGATGTTTCAAAACAAACTTTTTCAGATTTTCATCCTGAAGTAGAAATTTTTAATTTAAAAACGACTGGGAGGAGCGGGGGTGAAGAAAGCGAGGTTTTGCTTTGCCTTCTTCAAACCATGCTTCATCAAGCTCCTCGCGTTTTCAGACTCCATTTGGTTGAAAGGCCCACCCGAATTTTGCTCCAGCTTACCTTAATTAGAAACCTGTTTCTGTTTCACTTTTTTGTATAGCGCTGGATGTGTGATCTCTTGCAGTCCTGCAAGAGCTGGGGTTTATGAGAGGATTACAAGGAGATCATGAACCATGATTTAATTCTGCGAAGCCTTATTCGTGTACCTAGCTGTGAACACCGCGACTACTTCCGTTGACCATGATGGGGCTCTTCTGTGTCTGAAGCTCACAAGTGAAGGTCTTAGCAAGGCCATGGCCCATTTCAGGGGTCAGAGAGAAGTTATAACTCTGTGGTAATTGGAACAGGAAGGAAGAGGCAATGAAACAACTACATGCTGTTTAAAAAAGAGCTACAGGCAGTTTGAAAGTCAGGAAGAAGTCATTATCAACATCCATATAGTTGCAGCTAGGGATTGGGGGTGGTTCCGACAATCCCTCATTTTTCTGAAGCGATTCTTCTCTTAGTGATGGGTACATGGCGTATGTTCTCTAAATGCTTTTTCTTCTTATAACAGCTTTTGTTACAAAGCAATTTGCCTTGTATCACATTATTATTCAGTTCCACTTTTAAGTATGTGTCATTTTACACATATGTAAGCTACTATGTTTTATAACAAGCTTTTTTTTTTCTCCCACTCTTAGATAATTTTATGGCTTCACAAGAGGAAAAACAAGCTCAGCCCTTTGCAGACATCTTCGATGAAGATGAAGCTGAAAAATCCTTTCTGTTGTCCAAGCCCACTTGCATAATTATCCTTGGAAAGCCAGTAAGATTTCTGATAGAAGTTTTTTCTTCAGATATTCTGCTAACAATTTTACTTTTCCTCTCAAAACATTAGTTTAGTGATGCTGCCAAAAAGGTCAAAGACCTACTTTTTTATCTTTTCCATTTTGCAAATCCTGCAGAGTGTGATTCATTTAATGAGGCTAATTTTTGGCCTGAGTGACCAGTCAATTACAATTAGAAGTGTTATTACTGTAATTAAAAGTCACATGTTGCTCAAAAAGTTTCTTCTCTTTTCAAACTGGCAACTGGATTGTTTTTATGCTGTTTCAGTATTCTAATTTTAAAACACTTGACAGATTAAAGACATAAATAGGCATAAAAAGAACCTTCAGGTTAATGTACGGACTTACAGACATGCAATGAGATATTAACTATTTTAACTTTAATATTAAAACTTTGACGTAATTATATGTCATATATTTGGGAATAACTGAAATCCACCAAGGTGTCCTGATAAAGAGATTTGTACCATATTTTAACTACAATTCAAGGTCTCTCTTTTTCCCAAATAATTTGTGGCCTCCTTTACTTAGGAAAATGTGATGTTTTGTAATCCTAGACGCCTCAGATTTCTTTTTCCCAAATGTACGAGACTCTATGGGTGGTTTTACGTTAGGGCCTTAGGTTACTGAAGGGGGTTCTTTTGTGGTGCAAGTTTGCCTTATGTATATACTGAATCTGCTATGCGCTTAAACACACCACTGGTGCCCTGAAAGCTGCTTTCCTCTTGAACATTGCGGTTGCCCATGAAATATGCCTTCAGAGCACCGCACTTCCAGTGTGAACACAAGGTCCTCTAGCAGCTTGCCCTCTGCATTTGTGCGTGATTCCGTTAGGTACCACAACAGAGTCTGAAATGACCATACGGAAATCTGCTTTGCGCTGCCTAGCAGGCAGAGAGATAAAACGGTGTGCACCTAGAACTGGCAACCAACCCAAACTTCAGTGCCAGTTGGCCCACCAAATCAAGGCCCAAATCAATGCCATAGTGCTAAGATACGGCTACGTTTCCTTTCTTCAAAGACTTTCACCAGGCTGGAAGGCTCCCAGTCCCTAGTGTTTACACAGGTCTGCATCCTTTCTTACTCCTTGGCTCCAGTTGCTGGGTAATGCTTGGCTGCAAATCTTTACATCTGACCAAAGTGAGAAAGGAGGCAGGGTGGCATTCTACAAGTGGATGAGATGGGAACATCACAGTGAGACTGTATAAGGTGATAGCCAGCAAGTGTACCTTAAGCATGAGACCCAAAAGAGTGCATTCAGCTCAGTAAAAAACTACAGTGGACTGGCTCACCTAGTTTTAAACAAACGTCAAATTTCTAACCTTACATGAAAAAGGTAACTTTACACTTTTATAGACCAAACCAACATAAAATAGTCATTGAAAAACAATGCAGAAAACATCTAAGGGTAGATATTCTCATCTGAAATCAATGCCTTCAGCAAATGCTTGATATTAATACAAATTTTAACAAAGGGTTGAAATTGCACAGGCCTGGCCAAGAGAGCAGTGAATTAAATATTCTATTTTTATGATAATGTCTTTTATTTATATGGCTGATGTGTAGAGCATCTATCTTATTTAAGATACTTCTTTTAAGTTAAAAACATAGTGCCATTAAAGCAAAACCAAGTACATATATTTTCTACCCAAATTCCACTACTTGATGGAGTGTTCCTCGATGGAGGCTGTAAGATGCAAGGTAAGAGTAGGCTGGAGTGTTTGCTGATATGCTGTTAACTGGGCATGTGATTTATTTGTGGTTTTTTACTATTTTTTAATCACAAAATCTATCTAGGGCAAACAGACTGTCACAAAAAGTCACCTTGCATGCCCTTGAAAGAAGGGCATGATCCTAAGGGCGAAAGATGGTGAGTTTTGCAAAATCCAATTCAGGCAGCTGTACTCTTAGAGGCCTCGTTACCCTTGGTTATGTTGGTTCCTCAGGATTAATGTAAGTGATAAGATAAACCTTTTGTCAGTATCTAAAACAGATTTGTGGACTAACAAGGGCAGGTTTTATATATTCATTGTTTTAGTCAAAGAATACTATCCCTATGTATCTTACTCAGAAACAGCTCAGCAGGTGTGTGTCATAATTTGCTCTGAGACTGAAGATAATAAAGTTCAGTCCTAAAGAGTTTCTCCTAGGAATTTATGGGCAAATCATAGCTGAGTTTTAGATAGAGTTACTCAGAAACAAAGTCAGCATAATTACTTTGGAAATAATTATCTGCAAAGGACAGTAACAGTATATTAGCAATGCTAGGTGGTATAAAATAGAGGATGGTATTAAAAAGAGTGTTTATGTTTGCCCAGTGCATAACTCAGAGGCTCTAACCCTGATGGTAGCTTTTAACTGTTTTTATCATATGAAAATATATTCTTTATTGTGTAATATCTTTGGGTTTTTTCCTTCTGCCTGTTTTTCTTTAAATGTGTGTTTTTCATTTTAAGGGTTCTGGAAAGAGAACATTAGCTAGAAAACTAGCACAAACATGGAAATGCATTTTCGTAGAAGGTAAACATACACTATGTTTGGAACATTGCATTGGCTTCATAATATCTTTTGGTTTAGAATATCCTTGCTGTTCCCTGTAATTCAAAATAACATGTTTCCGATTGCAGTAAAGGCTACTGATAAGGACCAAGTAACCATTTTGCCAGAAATGCAATTGCTGAAAAATGGCCTTTTAGTTATAGAGAGGCTTAGAAAATAACTTTTTTTTTTTTCTTTCCAGAAGGGGATATATGTAACACATAATAATCAAGTTCTATTCTCATTCCTGTAAGGTGATTCTGACCCTTCTTGTTCACATGGAGGCAACTCATTCAACTCCAGAAAGCACAGGGATTTTCCAATACAGATCATGAAAAAATAGGAGGATCTTTCTTTCCTTTGTGTTTGTACAGTGCCTAATACAAGGGGAGGATGTAGTCCAGGAAAGAGAAGCGTAGCTTTTGTATCAGAATAAGTAATAACGGAAGGAATGGGAGCTGGCACTTCCAAATTCCCAAAACAAAAATATCCGATGGCTTATTTCAGAAGATGTAGTTAATTTCTCCCACCATGCATTTACTGGAAAGAAGATATCATTTCATTTTCTAAGCTATCCAGCTCCATTTCTGACAGTCCCTCTCACTGAAGATTTTTGAAGATCTGTAGAGTAAAACCTGTTGCTTACAACATTATTTTATTCCCTATGAACACATCGCTATTTTTTTTTTCATTTCGAGGCATCTCAGCAAGAAAGTAGGTTCCTACAAAAAATAATTAAGTCTCTGGCAGTTTTCTTTTGTACTAATTTTTCCAGCAGTAACTAAAGAAATTTTAAAACCTGTAATTTTTTTAAAGCCCTGGTAATATTTTTGTATCAGTGACATTATAATTCACAAATCTTGATTCATTCACTTAAGTTTTATGAAAAAAAGAAAAAAAAAGTTTTATGGAAAAAAGAAAACTTTTCCACCAGATTGGTCCTACCAGTTTGAAGGCTAATATAATCTTTTTAAGTAGAAGGAAAGCAAGCACATAATAACCTTAACTTTGAAGCAATTTCTTGAGTGCCTCTTTGAGGACACCAAATTATAAATATGATTTTATGGTATATATATGTACAGTTCTTCTGATTATGAACTAGCTCTTTATATATCTATTTTCATTACATTTTTTCTTTTAAATGTGCCCCCTAGTATTTTTTATTTTTCTAATAAAAGCCCTCTAGTGGACAGTGTAACACTTCTTATTCCTGTGAATACACGGCCTTACTTATCAAATGAGGTATCTTTAGCTTATGTTGAAGATTTTTAATTTTAATATGGTAAAATTAAGTTTTAATAAAGTGCTTTTCTGACTTATGTTAATATAGAATTTTTAATTCATAGGATTGTCTAACGAAAAATGAATACCTTGTCCAAAACATAGATCAGACCAAAATTGGAAGGGACCATAGGAACGTATTTAAGCCAATCCACACTGTTTGAATGTATTTAAATCATTACTGACAAATGTCTATCAAATTTGGTTTTAAAAATCTCTAGGCAGTCTGTCACTGTAGCAGTCTTTGCCATTAGAAAGTTTTTCTTAATGACTGATGTAAATCTCACTTATTGCATTTTTATGCCTTAATTCCAGCAGATCCAGAGAATTATTCTTTTCTTTGTTCGCTCATGTTTCTTTTAATCTTTGTCTAGTGTACCCACACGTGTGTACACACACACACACACATTCCTTCAACTTTTAATAGTTTTTTTTCATTTTCCACATCAAAAAAGAAAGAAACAAAGAAATTCAACATACAGAAACATGAATAATATAGCTCAGAAAGGACCTCCAGAGGTCACTGAGTCCAACCTTCCACTCAAAGCAGGGTCAGCTAGAGAAGGTTGCTCAGGGCTGTGTCCAGTTGAGTCTGGAGTATCTCCAAGGACGGAGACTCCACCACGTCTCTGGGCAACACTTTCCAATGTTTGACCACCTTCATAATGAAAAATTGCTTCCTAATTACCCCATTGGAATTTCTCATGTTCCTACTTGTGTCTGTTGCTTTGTGTCCTATCAGCACTTCTGCAAAGACAGTGGTTCTGTCATTGTGCCTTCCCATTAAGTAGTTTTAGACAGCAATAAGAGCTGTCCTGTTTTCTCCAGGCTGAACAAGGCCAGTTCTTTTTGCTTCTCCTAGTATGTTCAAGACTTTTAATCATCTTGGTGCCCTCCACCGGACTCGCTCCAATGTATCCATATCTGTCCTGCGCTGTGTTATTTATTTAAAAAATAATCAAAGTTAGAGGATTATTAAATAGGAAAGGTGTTCACAGTCTTTTTAATTTGACAAAATACTTTCTATCCATTTATCCAATGAATAGGTCAATACTCATAAATGAAACAGGGCTAGGGTACACGTACAGTGCTTATTTTCAGTTGTCTGTGTTGTTTGTTAATATATTCCCTATCTCAGTTTGGGCCCATGGAAAATAATGCTCTCCCAAACACCCATTCATAGTATGAAGGATAGTATGCATGACAGTTGTCATTACTAGTAGGAGCAGTTTGAAAACAGCCACTATGTTCTGGGGAGGAAGATTTTAGCTGTATAGGCATGAGCCACCTGACTTCAGGACCTTTCCCTGGCCTGGTTTATTAATAATATATATGTAGCCTTAAGGGTCATTCTTGAAAACTTTTGTGAGTGTCTGCTTATTTCAATGGTATGGAAGTACGAAAGACTTCCAGGACCATTCTGCTATGATGTCACTGTCCACAGATAATTTGATGGGTGTCAAATTTAGTATTTATTTAATTTTAGATAATTAGACTATATAAGGAGTAGGTTCTTAGGGGCTTTTTTAAAAGCCCTTCAGACCAACAACTGTTTTTGTGTGTCTAAACAGTTCTTTTTCTAAAACCTGCTTTTAAAATTTGGGAAGTGTTTGAGCTCAAATACTCATCTCTGGATTACACAGCAGTAATGCTAATTTGATATAAATCAGTAGTTAAAATAATCCTGCAAGGCTGCTGTTGTGCATTTGTCTGTAGTATATATATATAGGGCTAAATTGAAAAACATCTACCCAGACATTGCCAGAAGGGACCAAATTCTGGATGGACAAAATACAGTAACGGCCCTGAATATAATGGCTGTTCATTCAAAAATAGTCTGGTTGCTTGGAGCACACATACATACTCATATGTGTGTGTGTGAATGTATGTATCTCTGCATATGCATATATATATATACAGACATACATGTCTGTGTATAAAATATTTTTTATTAATTTTAATTTTATTCTGTCTGCTGTGCTTTCTCAGCTTTGGAAGTAATTCAGATGAATATTCATGAAGAAACAGAATATGGGCTTAAGGTAAAGGTCTAATCTTCTAGTAAGTTTTGTCACATTCTTGACAAATACACATTATATAAGACTATGTTTCGCATTTTACCTTAGTGTCAAGAATTGCTTTTTAAAGGTCAAAGTATTTCTGAAGAACTGGTTACAGAAATGATTCTGAAAAAGATTGAGTCACCGGAAGTTGCTCATTTTGGTAAGTATATTTATAGCCTAAACTTCTCAGAATGAGCTAGCTATAATTTTGACACACTTTGCATCCATTACTGCTCAAATGTAATTTATTTTGTATTAGACGGTTGCATCTTTTCTTGTGCTCTTCAGATTGCGGAATATCTGTAAAATGAGAGTATATTTAGGGATTTTACCAATATGGGAGATTAGAAAGTGTCATACCAATCCTATGTTGTGTTAATTTTGAGAAAATGAATTTGCCCCAAATTTTAAGTGTTGCTATGACTCTCATCTGACAATAGTATCTGGTTAGAAAAGTTTTAGGATTTAAAATACAATTTTTTCTTCTTGAATACTTCTATAACAACAACAACAACAACAAAAACCCACAGCAAAAATATTTCAAACATTTAAAATAATGAAAAAGAAGGAAAACAGATTATTTAAAATGCAAAGTATTACAGTCTTTTTTTTTTTTTCCTTACAACATTGTTTATTCCCTTTGCATTTTGTCACTGAGAGTAAGTTAGATGAGAATAGTATTGGTAGTGGTAATAATTCTTCTTTTTTTTTTAAGGAAAGATTACGTTAATTGAGGCTATTAAGACTAGTGCTGCATATCTTGCTAGAGTCTGAACCTGCTTTCCTGAAGAGAAAACAAATATACTGCTAAGTGGAAAGAAAGTAAAAGAAAATGTAGTCTCTTTTTCTGGTGCTGTATTTTATTTGCCATTTCCATTATAGGAGAGAGACAGGTATAGTGCCAAGAAAATGTTAAGTTTCTACTGCTCTGAAAACTAGCGTGCCTCTATAAGCTTTCAGTTGCAATGTGTTTTGTTCCCTCTCTAGTCCAAGACTCAACAGTTTTGCAAAAGATGCAGCCTTACCTGGCAAAACCAGGCTTTTAAAACAGTAGGCAAAAGACAGAGAAATAGGGAAGAAATAAAAAAAGAAAAAAAAAAAAAAAGGAGAAGATGAGGAAACAAAAATTTGAGGGAAGAAGTAGCAGCAGAAATGCCAGTCTCTTAATCCATATGTCAGGACTTTAATAAAAGCCTGAAGTGATGATGTCTGTGTTACCTGAGTTCCCCTCTTTGAGTCAGTCTGATTGAATGACTAAGATGTGTGTACCACAGAGGACCACAGAAATCCTAGAGACTGTAAACATGACTATAAAGTTGATAAAAGTTTGGTTCTTGTAGCCAAACCATTTTCTGTATTACAGATCCCAAATATAGCAAGGAATAGAATAACCTAAGTCTTCACTATTTTTCCTACTAACTAGCACTCATCTCCAAAACCACTTTTTGTTAAGTATTTTCTAGCTCTAATCACTTTTTGTCTAGCAACTATCTTAATACAATCTTTGGAAAGCTTAAATAGGCTTTCAGCAGGCACTAATCAGTCAATTGGCTATTAATTATTCATTAAAGATTTCAGAAAGAGTGTTGAATTTTTTACTTTTAACTTTTGGTTTTAACATTGTAAAATACAAGTTTCTAAACAGTACACACAATAAGGAATTATTTTCAGTTATATTCTTCTGACTTAAATAATAAACACATACTATGTTGAAGAGGTATTCAGAAGTGCTAAACCAAATGATAATATTTAAAAATTGTAAGTCACTAAAAAGAGATTTTTTTTTTTTAACTTCTGAAGAAGGTCAGATATGAAGCTTCTAAGCTATTTCTTGAAATAAACAGTATCTCTTTTTAAAAGAACATAGGCACTGAAGGATTGGAAAATAACAAGCATACCTGTATTTTAGGGTATTGTAGGTAAGAAAATACAGAATTATAACTTCTATGTAGCTGATATGCTTGCTTTTTTTTTTTTAATAGAACAAGAAAACAACCAGAAGTTCATATCATGTTAACCTAAATAATATTTGCAAAGGAAAAATCTATGTCATTATCACAGGGGAAAATGCTAAATTAGCATGATTTAAAATCAAATCAGGACCAAAGTCATTTATTGATTTATTAATGGCAAGTAATTAGCTGGCAATCAGTGAACTGGCGGTCAGTGAAGAGGTTCAGTATCAGCCACACAACAGACAAACCAGAGCACTAGGCACTTGCCAATATTAATAAACATCTACAAATTTCTAAACACCCTCCTAAAACTAATTCCAAAGAGTATACTCAAACTTGCATGGTTATGCGTGCACACCCTCTCTCAAAGATGGTTGGAAGTTACAAACACACATTCCCTTTTCTGAGAATGCATGTTCACCTATTTAAGCTCACTTTCTGTTGGAAATGTGAGTGCTCTAGCTTTGTCTGTGTGTGCCATTTCCTACAATCCACACACCAGTGAGAAAGCTCCACACAAGGCCATATACGCACACTGGAGGTGGGGGTCACCACTTGTTTAACCCTGTTCTGTCAGTCCTGTAGTTGAAATCCAGGTTACTCGCAGCATCTGATGGGGATGCTGCTCTGTCAGGCCTAGACAGAAGGTTGTAATGCTGGCATGTCAAACCTGGTTTGGCTGCTGTTCTTTTACCTTGTTCTCACTCTAAGGTGTCTTTCCCCAGTCACAAATGTTAATGCTTCTTTAGTATTTCTTTTCAAGATGACTCCTTCTCTCCTCAAAAGTTTCTTGGTAATCCCCCCATCATGATTTGATCTGGTTAATAGTTGTCTTAGGAACTTCATCATTGTTAGTCTTTCCACAGCATTACCAATTTTGGGGACAAATACCCTCTCAAAGAACAAACAGTTTGGGATAATGTTTTCCCATGTTACACTCCCATTCCTCTCACATCAGCTGTTGTTATCTGGGATGTGTTGATAAGCAGAGGCTGTGCAGACTCCTCACATCTCACTACCAGTTAGAATTCTCTGAAGTTATCAACAATTTAGAATTCAGGATTTTCATTTCCTAGAGGAATGACTATACATTATGCTCTCTCTTGCTTATCCTCTTCTATAAATTTTGCATCTATGGATGGTAGCTCCCCAAAGGAGAACTCTTCAGTCCTAATACCTCTTGCAAAGACTGCTGCTATGTTTTTGTGCTGCACAGACTTGAATTTAAATGTTATCTCATAAAATTCTAAGCATTTGGAGCATGCACCATTTCTCTAAGGGAATATTGTCATTATTAGGCTAAAAAAATCCACCTGATTCTTGTTTAGTCTCTCATTCTGGCCTCATGAATATTGAGTTCCTTGCTATACAGTAGTTCTTACTGCACTGCACGCAGCCATTGGTAGTTACAGTACTCTCCAAGGAACTTGAAGCCATGAGTTCATCTGTGGGGCTGAGCACTCTAATACTAGGAAAAAGGTATTATTACCACCATGCTTGTCCTATATAGTCGGTGTCTGTTTGCCAAAGAGGACTCAGCACTGTGAGTCCTGAGTGAACGGCTGCTTACCAAGTTAGGTGCCTCAGCATGCATACTGTGTGCATAGTGCATCCTTTTGAGAGGATTTAACATCCAGGAGCACTATGTATCCCAGAGCTCCCTTTATTGTCCATAGAATCGAAGACCTTTAAAGGCTGTATGAAAAGCCTAGACTCCTAGTTTAAATGCTTTGTATCATAGAATGGCTACTTTTTGCTTTTTGCAATGCCTTTTACAAAGTCTTTTAGTGGCAAAAATGGTCACTAAAAGCTTCTTACTTTTTAGGCACTACAATGTCTGAGCTAGGCACATGAAGCATGTGGTCTGAGTATGATCTTTAATGTCTACATATCTGTTATATTTCTTCACTGAGTTAAACTTTGAGAGTCCTATATCAAGTTGAACACAACACACTTTTTTGTCTGTGTCTCATCTGAAGTGGGCATGGGTGCACAATTTTTAATAGTGTTATGTCATGTACCTGGTTTAAAATTGTGCCACTAAACGGATGTATTGTTTAAAGGAGATGAGTATAACTAGTCCTATGTTTGACATAACCTTCTAAAAGATATCTTTAATAAAATGTATTTGGCAGGTTATGTTCTCAGTGGATTTCCTTCTCTCTCAGAGGAATACATGACTGTTTCACAGCAAATAGAGAAAATAAAGAATCTAAAATTAAAACCAGATTTCCTGATTAACATTAAGGTAACGTCATCTTCAGTAACTTGCTAGTCATTTTCCTAATTCTTAGTAGACTCATATGCTGCATAAGTCAAAAGATAGTATTTTCCCCTGTGCATTTGAGTATAGTATTTATTGAGGAATAATAAATTGTTCTGTTTTATATTGGAATGGAATTACGCTAGCTTGTTCCATTATAAGCATTGCTTATGTAAAATAATGAACATTTCCTAAAACTTCGGTAGCAGTTACAGTCTTTGTACTTCTACCAATTAGAAGATACAGGCTTTCAAGGAAAGAAAACTTTGAATAACATGATTATTATGGCATTTTGGATTCATGTACATCTGCCATTCATGTATTCAGGAAGAAACTTTTCACATATGGAAGTTAGAAAGCAAATTGTTTTATTTTTTACTCACTAATTGTGAAACTGCTTCTTAGTAATTATTAATTCATCTTGTTTACGAATCTCAATTTCTGCATGAGTAGTAATGTGACATACCAGATACTTTACAAAAGGGACTGATATAACCAGAGAAACATACATCATTGTTACTGTAGGATTAAGAGGACTTTCTCAATGTAACTTAAAAGAATGGACTTGCTGGCTACATCCACATTAGTAAATAAGGCAAGAGCGACTCTTCAGACATCAGGCCAACTGGTTTGGCAGAACACAGCTAACCTGTCTTGTTAGTCAGAATGGGGTGGCCATGTCCAAACTGCCTGCTGGGAAAGGCCCTAGGCCTGTGCCATTCTCCAGATTGTGCCCAGGTATTCCCCAGGGAGAATACTAGCTGGCCCACACCAAACTTTGCCAGACTCCAGGCAGACAAAGTAATGATATGTATAATCATGAACAAGGGTCCAGGCCCTTTCTCTTGCAATATTTTATTTATTATCAACTAGATTATTTCCATCTTCTACTCTGAATGTGCAGAATGATCTGCCAAGGCAACTCTGAATAATCAGCCACTGGTGGTGTGCTCCATTCTCGTTGGGATTGTGATTCTAGTTGTCATATCTATGTGGTTTGTCAGATGCTAAGCTTCAGTGCATGGGCCTAGTCTATCACTTTGCCAGGTTTAAGTCCGTGTTTGTTTTAATGACAAGGTTCTTTACATTCCATTCTTTTGAGACTTAATTTGTTTGACCATGCATAATGAAAATTTGTGAATGCCTACTTCAAACCTGTTTTTCTATGCTCATGGAAAGATCTTAAAACATCAGAGAAACATATTTTTGTGCTGTTTTTCAGGCAGTTTTGATTTTTTCAGCTACAGAAAGTCAGTCTTTGTTTTAATACCAGATAGCGAGAAATGCCAGTTCTTGAGAATATATGTTGTATAGTTTCATGTGCAACAGTACAAATAGAAGAGTGATACTAACTATACTAGAAAGAAAACAGAATTCTTGACTTCATGTAGTTACATCATCTTCTCCTCCAGGAAGAAGACTGAGACTGAATGCTTTTTAAGCCTTGCCCCAAAATCAAATGAATAATTTTGCCTTTGATTTCAATGGGTTCAAGCTGTTTTCACAGCTATGTCAGAATTGTAATAATTTTCATTATATCAAAAAGAAAGGAAGAAGGGAGATTCTAGATAACTCTGGGAATAATGAAATACTGTTAGTAGCAGACCAATTTACAGAAATTTTGTCTCTCCAAGAAAAAGGACAGAAGATGCACCTTTGAAAAAAGAAATATATCTGATCAAAACCTTTTCTCTTTCAAAATGTGCTATGTCATATAGCAGTCATGTCGGCTGTATGACTCACTGTAGAAATATAGAAATATCCTGAAGTATTGTAATACCTCAAGGGATACCTCAGGAAATGAGTGTAGTGTACCTGTTGCTAGCAATGTGATCTCAAAAGCTCCATATTTTCTATATAAATCAATTCTCCATTTCTGTAACAGTTTGACCTTAACAGCTACAATATTTTCTTGTTATCTCAGATTTTTCATATATGTCTGAAGGGTAGGTGTTAGTGATTTAGAAAGGAAGAATGATTATTTATTGTGTGTTGTGCCCCACCCCTGATTCCACAGTAGAATTTTAAGATACCCATATTGAGACCTGTTGGAGATCTGGGGACTCCAAGTGTGTATCAATGCAAGTACAATTTAGGACAGGTCAGATAGAAGCTTTATTAACTATGATCACAGTGAGCAACCATTCAGACAGCATCTCCCCCTCTACTCCCCTGTTCTCTGCTAAGTGACTGCAGAGACCCAACCAGCTTTTTGTTTCAGGGGAAAAAAAAAAAAAAAAAAAAAGAGGTGAGGGAAAACAATCCTTTCAATGTTAACAAAGTCAGGTATCCATCCCTGGAATGGATGGACTCCGAAAGCAGCTTGCTGACAGCCACAATTCTAAGCAGTCAAACAATGTAGGAAGAAGGTTCCCAGTGGAGCCTATAGGAGTGGCACACCCAGTATTATCTTAGCTCAGAAGTGGGGAGGTGGAAACAGTCACAGAGTGGTAGCTTTTAGTTAAAAGGAATGTTTTAGTTAGGGTGAGTATTTTAGTTAGGATGTTTAGTTAGGAATGTTTTAGTTAGGATAGAATTCTCAGGTAGACCTCTCAAATCTTAAATATTAATAATTTTACCACCACAGACCACATACAGATTTATCTGTGTTTAAAGTTAAACTAAATTTGTGTCTGCAGGGCTTTTTATGGAAAGACCATCACTTACTCTTCTAGAGCTCCAAACTACTGAACCCCTTTAGCCTCTGACACAATGGCACTATGCTTTTGGGTAATACTAGAGAGGTCAGAGGTACCTAGTAAAATTGACTTAATCTTGCTCAAGTCCAAACCACTTTGGCATTAATTGCAAGAGCAATCACAAGCCTGTCTGCAAAATACTTTTATCCATAAACTACATCTACACTTGTTATACTACAAGGTGTAAAATGTGCTCAGGTAGTGGCTACACTCCTGATATGGAATGTAAAATGCTGATGGGGAAAAACTATGCAAGTGTTTAAGTCTTTCTTAAATATTTGCTGCTTTTGAAAACTTTGTGTTTACTCAGAATGTTATTGGAGAAGTTGTTTATGAATCCAAGTATTTGCCAAAAAGACTCCTAACCCCCATTCTGCAGTTTCAGGAAAAAAATATTAATATAGCAGTACAATAAACACATGATTTCCTCTTAATTATTCCTTGCTAGTGTTCAGATTATGACTTATGCCAAAGAATATCAGGACAAAGGCAACACCCTGATTCAGGGCAGGTATATCAGAGGAACCAGTGGGATCCTAATGTTATTGAAAAGCAAAAGAAAGAGAAAGATCAGCATGAAGAAGAGAATGAAGAAGATGATGAAGAGCAGGAAGAAGAAGAGGTAAATATTGCTAATTTCTGAACAGTGTGAAGTATTATAATGTACTCTAGACAAAGCAGAACAAATTCTGACATTCTAAAATATCACCATACTACATTATTAATTACTTTTGCTCAACTTTAATCTTAACTCAGTTTCTGTTCTGCTTTAAGAGATGTGGGCTTATACTTAAATGGTAGGTTTAAATGACAGCAAATGGTGATTATTGTATAGCTTAACCTGGATTCAGTCTCTAACTCAGAAGTCGCTGAACTGTTTCTTGCCATAAGTTAAAAGGGTGTATCAGGAGAATGGTGACTCTATATTGTCTGTTTCTTGGTCTAAGCAAGTAAGAATTCTTAATTTCTGTTTATTGTAGCAAGTTTTACTAGTATTTGCAGGATACTATCTTGTTTTCTGGTTTTGGTGTTAGACTACTACAAATGCATTTTCTTTTTTTTTTTTTTTTTTTTTCCATGAAGGTATTAATTTTGAATTCAGGTTGAATTGTTCTGGTTTATAATGCTGGCCAGAGATTTATCAATGCAAGTTCTAGGCACATTCTTCTCAATTTGCAGAAACTACCCTTCATCAGGATAGGATCACGGTCAGCAATCACTGGACTAATACTCATTGCAATACTCTGGAAAGCCATTTACCTTTCAGTAAAGACAAAAATCAGTTTAGCACATTATTTTATTTCTATATCTTGAAATATTTAACTTTTCATTCTGCAGACTGCAGAAGATCCACTTATGATGTCAGAATTTCTGCATCAATTAGTGCAGAGGCCTGAAGATATTCTTGAAAATGCAGAGGAAAGAGTTGGAACATATAAGGATATAATGCTTCATCCTTTAGAAGTAAGAAAAAACAAAATAATATGATTATGTGTAACAAAAGATTTTTAAAACTATCTGGCACTGTTTTCTTCTTTTTTGTTTGTTTGAGATTTACTGTGTGGAGGTGGGCATAAGGCATGCAACAACATATCCCCAAGTTCTGAAATTCATACTGAACTCAATGATACAAAGTTGTCACCTGTAGGTGGTGTTTCTACTCTGGAGTCAAGATAAAGTAATCCACTTTGAGTTTTAAAAGTGATAACATACTTGCCACCACAGATGCTTCCTAAATCTAGGAAGTTAAGTATTTGAAGAGCCCAGTGTATCATCACCATCACCAGAGTCCATTCTAGCATGCAATCCCATAAGAAATATGCTCTTTGCCTCCATTGCCTTCCACTCCAATAGATTCCCTTCATCACCTGCTTCATTGCCCGCAAATTTATATACACAATAATTACCCTATCAGTTTGCTTTATCACCTATTTCATTTCTGAAGCTGTGACATTGTTTTTTTCTTTCCTTATTGTGTTCAGGAAAGTTGGATTTACTATGTCTCTTCCCCCCCACCCCCCCCCAAACAGGTCCAAAGCAATAATTTGTTCTTTTCTTTTTTCTGGGTTTTTTTTTTTATCTCCTGGTACAAGCAACTGCTAAAGCCTCACGTTTGCTGCACACTTGACAATTACTGTTTATTTATTCCCTTCAATTTCCCTGTGGATTAGATCAACCTTTAGATAAAATTGTGTAAAAGTGGTATAAAGTTCTTGCTAGAGTAACAAACTTGCTGCTGCTGTGAAGGGGAAAGCAAAATATGTGATCTCTTTAATCATTATACAATCTCACATGGATTTCTCTTAAGCAAACTAATGGAAAGTTGTTTAGATTAAATTACTTCAGGATGTACACCCCAAACTTCAACACTTTCAACGTGTTCAACTAGTTGGTAGGCCTTACTTAGGCTTCACTAATGATGAATGTATTAGTGAACATACTTAGAGGTCCACTAATACATTAAAAGAACATAGGGGTCTATCATTGGCTCAGGTAGAGGTTGAGATGATGAAACTGGAAAAAAAAGCTTATAAGATGTGCAGTTTGCACTGAACTGGGATACGTAGAAAGAACTTTGGAGAACAGACTTTGATTTCTTGATTAGTTGTTAGGATGACATTTAGTAGAAGTACGTGTGAAATACTACAGTTAGGGAGGAAACCTAGTGAACAATTACAACATGTGAAATAATTGGCTAGACCTCAGCACTGCAGACAATCTGCAATCTGTGGGGTTTTAGCTGGTCATAAACCGAGTCAATAAATGTGATGCTATTGTACAAAAGCAAATATTATGGATGTACTAATAAGACCATTGTACCTAAGAGAAACACAAACTATTATCTTCTCTGTAGAAGAGTATTAGAAAGAAGTAATTAGTTATTATTTCTACCAAGGATAGGACAAATAATTTAATTTATAGTACAGAAGACTTAGACTAGATGCAAGGAAATGAATGCTGACCACAAGTGTAGTGAAGAACTGGAATAGATTGCCTACAAAGTTGTAAAGTCACTTTCACTAGGCTTTTTCAGGGCTGGGGTTAGACCAACATCTGTCAGTAATGGAATGAATGTTCTCAGTCCTCAGACAGAGATATTAACAACAGACAGGGGATGTCTATTTTAGTCTAATATCTTATTTACTAACAGGAAAATGGAAAATAAGAAAAATCAAATATATTGTTCAAATTTCACAGAAATTGAGAGTCAGGACCAAATGGAAACATTAGTCTCATGGTTGGCATTTCCAGGAAATCTGTTAATTGACAGTGTCACCATTTTCCAGCAGAGAATTAAGGTAGTTAGAGAGTTAGAAGTTGAATTTGTACACAAAATGTTACTGTATCTTGATTCTTTGTAGTTCTCTTGCATTTGAGCTAGCATATCTAATCTGTTTTCTGAACCCACTGTAACTACAATGTTTGAATTCTCTCTGTATTTATCCATCATCAAATAAAATTTTCTCTCCAGAAGATTTTATAAGTCATCAGTACAATGAATCTTGGTTTTGCTGAAGTCCACAGGAGTCCAGCCTTTGATATGTACAGGAACAGAATGAGCTTCAATGTCATTATCTGGTTAACTACACTCAATTGATGAGTATGTCTTTGTTCTTAAACAGGACTTGATGGCTGAACAGGATTGTCAATATCTTATTGAACTGGATGGAAATCAGCAACCAGATGATCTCTTTGTAGTAAGCTATGCACCAACTTAGTTAACCTCCACTAGAAAATGATTTCTCAGTTCTGTGGATTGTTTTCTTTATTAAGGTGTTGGCAAAATTTTAAGTTGTGTATAAAAATAATTTAATTGCTATTAGAAAACATGACGTTCAAAATGCTTGCTTTACGCAAGCTCAAGCAAATGCTCTATTAAAACAATTATAAGATTGATTGCACTGCTCCCAGGCTTACATATATGTTACATGACAATATTTTCAGGCAGGCTACAAACTCTTTTGTATTTTACCCATCTGGTTTTAGCACTTTATTTTGTGTATTAGTGTAAAATAACATTATTAACACGAGAAATTAAAACACTTTCAGTATATTTATAGAATTGGCTTATTTTGTGCTGGTGTCTAAAATAATGACAGAATTTTTATGAACTTTGATATTGTTTTACAGTGTAATAGAAGACACTTCATTCTTTTAACAATTCTGCTGAGTGTGTGTGTCTAGATTTTTAGTTTATAACATAGCAACTCATTCTCCCTATTAAAAAACTACAATGATGAAATTTGAAAATAAATAATCTTATCCTCTGCCTCAAAAATAAGTGTTGCTTCAAATCAGAACCCAAGGTATGGGGCTGAAAATGGAGTGAGAGATTGTCTTTGACAATGTAGGAAGTGAGATGCTCCAGCAGTTTCCACTCTGTTGTTTGAAACAAATTGAATCAATTCTAATTCTGTGAGTATTATTTCAATTTATGCTTAACTTTACTACCAAGAGTAGTCCTATGGGAAAAAAAACCACTAATTTTGCAGAGTTGGAATATAAAATTTCCTCATTTATGATCTGTTTGTGAACATTACAACAGAAAATTTATAGTAAAGGAGGTCAAGTTGTGTAATGATTCCAACCATTTTACCTATAAGTAAGGTAAAGGCCTATTATGAAACTAGTCCAACCATGACAAAATTTGCTTTTTCATTTCAAGAACACTTGCATTCAAGCAAGATTACATTCAAGAATTACTTCAATTAAATTTAATATAATCTGATTTTCATTGGCAGACACCTGCTTTAAGTATCTTTTTAAATAAATTACCCAAAGTTGTATTACTTCCAAGTGTGCATAATCTGATCTCCTAAAGAGACTTTCCTCCTTTTCAGATTGAAGCTTATCTAAATACTTCCACTGCTTTGTGGGAAAGATTCCTTTAGAAGGCTTGGGATTCACGGCATAATTAGGAGATATAAAGGCTGTGATTCAGCATTTTGCACTGCCTGTATCTACCCAGTGGCTTGTTAAAACTCAGCTCAATAACTAGCATGACTCCAAGCTAGAAACTGGGCCTTAGTGTATATGTAGCCATTATATAAATAATGTTACAATTTTTAAAATACTTTGAGGGTCCTTTCAGATCACAAAAGCAGTTTTGATTGGTACTAACTCAAGAGTTATTTTCCCTTCAGTCAGTGGCAGTTCGACTTCAATCTCTGGGTGTTCGAAATGGAGCTCCTATAACCAGACTTGAAAGTCAGCAAGAAGAAATGCTGGAGGGACTGGAAAATGTAAGTGTGCTTTTCTAAAATGTGATTGATTGCAATAATTATGAAAATATTTTTTATTTTCTGCTGTAAGCTTACATTATAACATTTTTGTTTCGCAGCAACCAGTTTGTTTTACCATGTACTAGGGGTAATTTTTGAGCTTTGACTTTCCAGAAATGTGAATTTAAGCTAGTTCTGGGACTGAAATCCAGTTAAAAGAATATGAAAAGAAAAAAGTCTGTCATTAAAAAAAGAAGTTAGATTATTACAATAAAATTTTGAACAAAATGTTTTAGCAATAGAGGAACAATTAATTCCTTACAAGAAAATAAAGAAACTTTAGCCAAAGGATAACAATCTCAGCAGCTCACTCTTAGCTCAGTTTTTACTCTTTTCCTGAATGAGAAACAGCATGCTAATACAAATCTAGCAACATTCTGCATAGCTGAAATCACATACATTGTTTCTCCTGTAATTAATTAGAAACATGACAAGTTAGTGCTGAATTTTGCTGAATCATGACGGTTATAATTTGTGTCCCTTCCAAATAAAACTGAAGTGTTTGCATAAATGTCTTCACCTATATTCACTTGCAGTCATCTTTCCTATTTCTTAAACAAAACTTTGAATGTATTAACAGTACTGTAACTGGGAGACCCCCGCTATACATTTTCAGATAAACACCCCCCTCTTCACTTTTCTGTTTTCTCAGTCCCTGACAAATTAACAAGTGAAGGACTTTCTGTGTCAGAGGTCATCTGTATTTATTATTTTGTTAGCCTGTGTGTTTGTGTTAGTCTGTGTGTAAGCTTTTAGCATCCACAGTATTTGGGACAAAGAGTTCTGCACTTGAACTGGACATTATATACAGAATTGCTTCCCTTTGTGTTGAACCTGCCACCTTTTAGCTCAGTCTCCTCTAGTTGTTGATATGCAAAAGTCAGTAAATAGTTTTGTTCTCTGTATCTGCCCTGTAATAACTCATGATTTCACACTTCTGTTCTTATGTAGCTGTCTTGTTCTTGGACTGAAGAGTTCCAGTCTACTTAATCTTATTTCTTCTTATATGAAAATCTTTCTGTGTGATTGATCAGTCATATTACATTTTTCTGAAACTTTTCCAATTCTGCTGTGTACTTCTTGAGACTAGGGTAGCAGAATGCACATAGCAGTAAAGATGAGGGTAGGATTTATACAATAAAAAAACCCAAACCCTTTATGTTCTAGTCTCTCTTTGCGAAACATTCCTAACATTCAGGTTGGTTTTCTGACTGCTCTTGGGCATTGACCAGATCTTTTCATGGAAGTATGTATTATAGCTCTAAGATCTATTTCTGAGTAGTGAGAATCAATAACACCTCATCATTTTCTGTGTAAAATTGCTATTTTAATGCCCTAGATTCCTAGATTCTGAAGGTCCTTCTGCAGTTCTTCACAGACAGCACTTGTCTGTACTATTCTGAATAATTTTAGAGTCACCATAAACTTTATGGTTCACTCACTATTCAGCTCCTGTAAAAGGCCTATTAAACTTACTCCTATCACATGATATTTCTGCATGCCTAAAAGAGATCTTTTGGGCTTGCTATTCCCCCACACAGATTGTGGTCCTTTCTTCATCCCCTTTAGAAGAAATTTTGGCCATTTTCTGTCATCTTCAATAAATGGCTGATTTGTGCCTCTTTATTGTTTTAAACTTCCGAAAATAAATGAAAACTACAGGAACTATTTTTATTAAATAAAATTGAAAACCTAAATAGTTTCTCCTTAAAATTGTCCTACAATTCTGAAATATGTGATTTTTTTAAAAAGATTCTAAAAAGCATGATGTGGTTTTCTTTTCAGGTTTGCTTATTTTCCAATCAAACATTTCAAAAAAGGCAGAGAACAAGGCATATGTAGCTTCAGACGAAAATTACACATGCTGTTATTGCTGTTTTAATAAACAGGATGAACTTTTCCGGGTTCTGTCATCTTGCAAACTAATAGCACACAGATATCGATGGCGTAGAAGCAGGTGGGGACAAGCATGTCCTGTGGCTCTAAAGGAAGGTGATATTGTAATGGGAAACCCAGACTTGGCTGTCAGGTTAGCAGAATTTGACACTTTTCTTTTTTATTTCTATTTTATAAGGTAACTGACTATATCTGTCAGCTTCTTTTCTGTTTTAAGTTTTCTAGGTAAAATGTATGTACTGTCATCCCCAGAGGCATTGAAAACATTTATGTTGAATCCACGGCCTTACCTGTTGCCACCAATGCCACTTCCTCCTTGTAAAGTACTAGTATTTGGTCCTTCATTCTCTGGAAGAACAACTATTTGTAACCTAATTGCACACACATATAAAGGAAAGGTAGGTTTATAAATGTCTTATGTAACAAGGATGTCAGCTGTGGCTTGGGAATCCATTAAGCACATTCTTATTCCTGTTGTGTTATTAACATACACATTGCAAACATGGATTACAGGGGAAACAGAGTAATTTAGTGCAATTCATTTATATAAAAGTAACTAAATTTAAAAAAATATTTTTAATTTACCCTCTATGTAAGACAAATATTTATGTGTCAGTTATTTGTCTTGGCATAAGAATATTATGAATAACTTTTGTATCTAAGGTACTTAAACATAAATGCAAATTAGAAATTATTTTTTCCACAAAAATACCTGCACTTGAATTATATCTACATTTTTCTGAAATCTGCAGAGCTTTTCCAAATTCATTTCATCGTATAGAAGTTGGATCAGATGCTATATTTCTCTTCTGTGATATTTTTATTTTTTCAAATCATTTCACTAGGTTCTTGACATGGCCAAACTCATTCAACCCCATATGGAAGAATCAAGAAAAGAAACAATTGAGCAAGTGCAAAGGGATACAGTAGAAAAAGCTATAACAGCAGTGAAAAATAGGTTGGAGTTAGAAAACCAGTCAAGAGAACCAGGTGAGTGAGGTGTTCCATGGTCTTTGAAGCTATCTTATTTGCTTTAGGTTATTTAACTGAAGCAACTGCTGTCACTTTGACTTTAAAATATTACAGAAGCTGTTAACAGTTGTTGTGCATTAAATATGAACTAAAAGAACATGCAGTGAAGGGAATAGCTGAGTAGAATTCAGTAATTTTGATCTTATATATAAATCCTGTGAAGCTGAGGGCCATGAGTATGTGAGAAAGAGTTTTCTGAGCTATTTTTGAAAGAAGAAATTGGTTTTGACTGATACTGGTTGGAAACTTTCCATTTGAATGACTTTCTGACAAGTTAAATCTCTGCAAAATTGAAATTTTCTTCAAGAAAGCAGCTTGTCAGCTAGCCTGATGTGAACCCACAATCTACAGATTTTTCACTTTGGAGCAGCCTTCAAAGTATGTTGTTTCAGATGGCACATTCACAAGACTCTCCAGCTCTGGTCACATTTGGACTTCTTAAGCTGCCCAGGTTTTTGCAGCTTGATGAATTCAGAAAATATTTTTAAAAGGTGAAAATGACATGTTCTTTTAATATCTTTTAAACAAAATTTGAATTTTCTTTTTGCAGGAAATTTTGTGGGTTTTTTTCAAAATTATTTATTTTGAAATGAAAATTTTCCATTTAATTGGAACTGCCTTTTCCAGTTAGCTCTAGTTATGGTTCAAATGGACAATCAGGCCATTTTGCCTTATTCAACTAAGCAAGGAATCACCATATTTGACTTACTCATGGGTAGATACATATCTAACAAGAAGTCAGTATATTCTCCTGGTGCTGCAAAACATAGAGGCTGACAGTGATACAAAAACCATTGATGTTGCAGTAAGAGTAATGGTGAACTATGATATCAAAAATAAAAATATTAAACAGTGTTATGTTCCAGATTCCTGGCTATGTAAATACTTTAGAGGACAGGTATGTGAAATCATATTAGGATGAATGAGAACTTAATCCTAGTTAATAACCTTGGAGAGCTCAAGCAATTTTATTGCAAAACAGAACTACAGACAGATGAAGGATGTAAATTGTCATAGAAAGTAACAAAGCTTCAGAAGGGGAAAATATTTTTGGAGCTTGAATCTAGATCTAGCAGTAACTATCCCAGAAAGTATTTCCTATTCCTAAAGAAATTATTTAGTTAATTACCTTGTAAATTCTACCTTTTGAGAGAACTACAGAGAATCATTAAAAATTATGCAGAATACATATATCAATTTAATTAGGTAAATGGCCCCCTGACTGTCCTGAGTGCTCCCAAGTCCTGTTCAGGGATAGACAGTGAGGCTATGAAACTCCGCTGAAGTCCGCAGAGTTTCTGTCTACCGTCAGAGCAGGTCAGGAAATTGAAGCAGTTGGTGCTAAGGACTCAACATCCATGTCATGCAGAGAGGACTTTCAGACTAGCTGTATTGTGATCTCATGGGCTGAACACTTAATGGTTTCAGCATAGTAAACGTGCATCTGGAAGCAATCAGTTAGTTTGCATGTTCCAAGACTGCTTTGCCATGTGTACCAAAGCATGGGAAGGATCAGGAGAGTCACTTAAAACATAGTGTTCTGATTCAAACTGAAAGGGCAACATTGACATGCTCAGAGGGTCCCAGTCTGTTAATGTGCTCAGATAACATCCAGCTCAAACAGATTGGCATTCCGTAATTACAGAAAGTAAATATGGCATTTTTTCCAAATTATACTCTTCACATAGTAGATATTGCAGTTGCTTAAAATGGTTCTTCACCAAATTTTATCAAATTAATATGTAAACTGTGAACTAACTCGGAGTGTTAGTTAGTGTAAAAAAATTTTTTTTAAACAATTACAGTCCATTGTGTCAGCAATTAATAACAAAATATCAATCCAATATGAACATTTTGTACATCTTAGGGAATGCAGGCTTCTTGATTGTTGACATACTGTCTTAATCTAGGATTTGTACTGATTTTTAAATTAATCCGGTCAACCTTTTGATTTAGGAATCAAGGAGAAATCAAATCAAAGGAAATTCTCAGGTGCTGCAGGTGCCTGATTGTTCTAGTTCACAAATGTCATTCCATTCATATTGAAACAATATTTCACTTACTGGTAGAAAATACTGTGTAGTTAAAAAGGGTTTTTTTGTAATGAAAGAGCAAACCCAGATCTTAAAACTTATCTTTATGAAATTCTTTCTCACTATGATTGTGTAATATTGCTTAAAACAACTGCTGCACTATAATTATGAAGTGGCTGGATTTAATTGCCTAGCAGTTATTCCTGACTAGAGGAAATGAGTATTTCAGAATTTTGTGAAGTGCTTTAAAAAATCTATATTGTTAGGAATGTCAGAGATAACTGCTGACCACCCAGAAGTTCAAGCGATGGTAGAAGAAGCCATAAAAAGTGCATCAGCCTCCGAAGTTACACTGTCACCTGAAATATATGCTGAAGTATTGGAGAGAGCTATTGCAGAGGTAAAACTACAAGTACTATATAGCAAATAACTTTTTTTTTCTAAGAGCAACCTGTAACAGTTTATACATTGTCAATATATGTTCTTAATTTTTCTGTTTAAAAGAACAGTTTAGTTTATATCACATAGTCTGACAGCTTACATAGGATTGAGGAGAGACTGAGCAAGATCATGAAAGGCAAATCTATTGAGGACTGCTATATATATATATACACAAATTATTTCTGTCTTGCAAAGTACCTGGGCTACAAATTCTTAAAGGCTGGGAAAATTGTCTGAGGGAAGTATCACTGTATGCTTGCCCTATTCTTATACTGTTAGTCACTATTAAAGAGCTCAACACCAGATACAAGTGTTTGAAAAGGATTATATATGAAGGTTTAGCCAAAATCTTGAATTGTTTTGAATTTGTTCACTGGTTTGTAACTACTGAAACTGCAATCTAAATTCTTTATAAGCAACCTTAAAAAATCACTGGCACATTAATCTTTTTTTGTTTAAAATGTTTTTATTTCTCTCAGACATATAAAGTTATAAATGTCTTACTTTTTACTGACATGAAATTACGATAGGGCAAAATCGTAACATTCAGAAAATAATTTTATATTCTGTAGACTTTTTGAACAGCTCACAGACTATCTTAGTCTTTTTATGTTACTGAACCTGACATTTTATAACAGCTTATGAAGAAGAACAAAGACAGGTTTCCTGGTGCTCCAGAAAAAGGAGGATGGGTAGTGGATAACTACCCTCTGTCAGTAGATCACTGGTCAGCTTTATCAAAAAAAGGACTTTTACCTGACACGGTTGTCTGTCTGAAGGATACAGAAAAAGATGGTTAGTAAATGAACAGTAATGAAACTTAATATTTTCTTTTTTCTGTGTTGATATCTGTATATAAAGCACACTTACAAGAAAAACTAGTAGCTGTGTTCCACTTACAAAGTTTCAGAGGTCTAGAGAAGGGAGAATCCAGTGAATCAACAAGGGTACCCCAAATTTCTTACAATTTGGATTAAGGGAATTACACAGAATTGAAAACAGGAATGCTTCACAAGCAGTAAAGACAATTCCTCCTATTTATAATCCTATTTACAGTTTCCTCCTATTTACAATCAGCAGTAAATACCACTGGACTCTTGCAGTTTCCGACTTTTGTATTCTGTGTCTGGCTGGCCACTAGCTTGCAATGTGGCTCTTAGTCGAATTTCCCTGCCTGTGCATTGGCTTCCCCACTTGCAAAATCAGGTTATAGATATGAACTAGGTATGAACTTTCTCTGCTTGAGAGAAAAGAGGGGGAGAAATACCGGTATGCAGGTGTATCCTCTTCCCCATCCTGGGGCCAAAAGAAGTTGATCAACTTCTTATCCAGACTGATACAATAGCTTAGCACCCATGAATTCGGAGGAAGGGATTTTTACTTTGTTGTTTCCAGCAGAAAGGAAGGTTGGTACCAGGCATGAAAAACTGAACAGATTCCTACACCGTTAAAAGTTTTGCCTGCCAGATCATGTCTTAATGGATTATGCCTGCTTGATTCATACCACACCACAAGTTTCATTGCCTTGTGGCAATGTTTGATCATTACCTGTTCAACACAGTCCTTCAGTAGTAGAAGCTTTCCTTCAAGAAAGGAATGATAGGTGTATTCATACTTAGTTCAAGAAAGCTCAGTAAGTGCCCTATATTAGAATCAGTCCAGAGACCTTTTCAAACTCTTGTCCCTGAGTACAAAATTCAACCTGAGCACATCAAGATTACAGTTTACTCCGAACAGATTTCTTGTTTCAAAAAAAAAAAAAAAAGCTTTTCAGAAGCATGACATCTGATCAACTAATCATTCTCACAACTCAGTGAGGTACAGTACCTAAACTACTCGGTCACCAAGCTTTGTGAAATTTTGTAACACCTTAAACAACTAAAATCTTGCAGTGTGGCTGGAGCTTGTATACAGACTAAATACAGACTGAACATTTCTATGAGAAAGTTCTAGATCCAGTGTTTGTCAGAAAATCATATTTGCTGTTCCTATCATTCAAGAAGACCTCATCTCAGATACTTCCAGAAAGAACTTAAGGACAAATTGCATTTCCATGCCTCATCTTTGCTTCTCAGACATTTCAAGCACATTGAAATGTTCATGAACCTAGCTTCTGGGACACAGTGCATTGTCCTTTCTTACAACCACAAAAAGCACCTTATTCACGTAGCTGGCATGCAGTAATGTAATGTTAATACAGTGTACTAAATAACAAACAGCAGGAGTCAAGCTCTAGCCTTTTCTCCAGGGAGAGGACTGAGGTAGGAGAGATGCTTTCAGAATTATGTTAACTTTCTCTTCACTTCTTAGAATTTAACAGATTAGTGAATTAATTGGATAAAAGAAAAGGTTGTCTCATCCTCCCTGAAAGGCTTTATTCTAGATCAGACACTTTGGGAACGGATAATTCTTGACTGGGAGGCTTTCAAATGAAGACCTCTCTCGGGCTTTCAAATTATGTGCTTCCTTCCTGCAGTGTACACCTTTCTGCCATTCCGACTAGTTCTCAAAACCTAGCTCTCAATTACTTGTTCTACTCTGAACAATCTATTTTATACTCTTGGTAGCCATCTCCCCCACAATCATCTTCTGTTTCTCTAGTCTTACAGATAGCAGATTCTTTAAAATGTAAGTGTAAGCCTTTCCTAGAAGTTAGAGAGATCCTTCATGAAACTTAAATTTTGTGCTTACAGCCCTGATGGTACCTCTGTTTGAACTAACACTGTTATAGTCTTTAGATCACATAGCAAAAAAGACTGCTTACTTATTTACAACCCATTTGGCCCTATGTATAAGCAGATTTCAGGCTTGAAAGGAAATCCACTATTCCCATTTTTGATGTATTTGAGATGACAATGAGTCTATACTCTAATTTTATCCCTGGAGGTGTATCAGGCATCATACGAATCAATGACAATTTATTTCTTCAAAGTTTCATTCACTGGTGGAAGGAAATGCATTAACATACTTTAAATGATAAAGCATATATTTTTACTGTCTCCACTTGAAACAAGTCATGCGCAGCTTGAATACAAGTCATACCATTTGTAGCCTAGCGTAACAAATCAAAGTGAAATATAATACTGGCATAGAGATTTTCTTAACAGCCTTCCAGTTGCATTAAAACAGGACATTGCAAGAACATTGTTCTTTCAACCAGAATCAGCTGAGCTACCTATAAACCTGCTCCATTGGCAAGCTAGCTTATTTTTGGTTAATACCAGTAGCAGATATTCTCAGGTCAGCCAGTTAGGACTTCGCTAATTTATTTCCATTATTCTAAAGGCTTATAGGTCAGTTGCTCAATTTGATCAAGTAATACTAAAATCCCTCATCAGATGAAACAATATTGAATCTTGTGAGTGAGAAAGACATGCTGGTACTCAAGGAAGAAAGAATGGTTAGTTATAGTATAGTAATTATGATTCTTCTGGATGTTCTGAATATGATATTTCTGTAATTAAAGCTGCTTCACTTCAGTTCAATGTCATTTGGACTCTGAGTAATGAAGTAAATTAATGCTTTTTGGCATTGCTGCTTTTCATAATACTGTGAGAAAATACAAAGATGGGAAAGTGCATGCCTGGGCCACCAGGCAAAGCCACTAAAAACTTTCACAACTTTTTTGCAGAATACCAAGACAGAATTTTCTAAAGATGAGTTTACAAACTACATTTTAAAAAAACTCCCTTCACTCACCCTCCCTTTTTCAAAAATACATTTAATTGAAAGTATTGTTTTAAAATAGAAACTGTTCACACAAAATTACCTTCTCCTTCAAACTGACACCAACGTTCCTAACAGTTAACTAACATGTTTCTCACAGTTCAAATTTATATGTTAGTTGATGATAGTGATCACATGAGATATGGGAGGAAGTATGAGTAAAGTGAGGTGAAAGAGACAAGATCATAATGTCTGCTATAGGGTTTGGCTAAAAATGTAGCTTTTTGCTTATGGATCTGTTTCCTTGAATATAGCTATTTTGTTTCATTTTGCTTGGTTTGTTTTTTTGGTTGGTTTTTTTTTTTTTTTTCATTTGGGCAATTGTGTTAACCCTTTATTTGATTCACACTAATTTCTGTCACTTAAATAATAATGTAGTTGTGGAGTTTACATTTTCACAGCATTTTCAGTCATTACTTTGTAAGCCATCCCCTGAACTAGTCTAAACTGGCATAACTCCACCAATGGAAATGGATTTCAGCCACACAGCCATATATCATAAATATATTTGCCAAAGTAAATAAGTCAGTAGAGTTCCTAGTAGGAACAGCATATTCTTTGTTTCTGTCAACCAGCTGTAGTAGTAAAGGTATGTACAGTCTTTATATTTTTATTTTAATGTTTTTCATTTTTTTCTTCATAGTTTTCTTTGTACACATACAAACAAAATAAATGCCAGAGTAATGCATGATATACAGAAATATAAGATAAATCCTTTCAGTGCTGTCTCCCCTTATAGCCTTCATCATAACCCTCCCATATCCCAGACTCAGTTTATTAGGTGCTTGAAATTGAAAAGAAAGCTCTAAAACCTTAGAAAGCAACAGTATAATAACATTTCAGTGGTATATATGCTTTTTCTTGGCTATAAAAAGTAGAAAAGTTGTCTATCATTTATTATATCATTTTCCTAACTCAAATAACTTTAGTTTTATACAGATGCATAAAACTCATTACTGTTGTGTAATTGTACTGCAGGAGTCTGTATACTACGCAGAGCATACTTAGCAAATAGGGATGAAATTAATTCTAAGATTTTGAAAAGACTAACAGATGAAGCATTACAAAAGAAAGAAGAAGAAGAAGAAAGGTAAAATATTCCAAATACCTGAATGTATAAAATGAGCACAAGAAAATTCTAACCTTACTTTGTGTTAAACATATCAGTACATTTATCAACACAAATGTACTAAAACAGTACACTAAGACTAGTTGTGATGTGTAGTAAATAACCCAATATGTGTTATCTTTGAGGAATATCTCATTTAGATCAGTAAATATGGTGGCAGAAGATTCTCTTCCTAACTGCATTTTCATTAGCCTTTCATTAGTCCAGCCTTTTGACACAATGAGACAATAACATTTTAGATGATAAAATATATTTGATTTTTATTTCGTACAACCCAAATTATATTTCAATTCCCAACAGTATATTTCCACATCTTTACTTTACATTTAATATATCTACAACTTGCTTCAGTAGTATTTATATAAGTCTTAAGATGAATATCTTTTACTTACAGAAGAGAAATGCAAGAAATACTGACATCAGAGGAAGATCAATCTCTAGAGGCTGCTGAGGAGAAAGGTGAACGTGTGTATCATTTGACTTCTATTTTATCTAATTCTGTGTTTCAAATTATTTAGCAATTTGTTTTTTATGCAGATTTTACAATTTTTATTTCCTTTTTACATTCAGCATCTGAAAAAATGACTTTATATTACTATCTTTGCTTCCTTCACTGATTCAGGCACTCATTTCTATGTGTCATTCTTAACGGATGTTACAGAATAGAGACACGTATTAAATCAGTCAGCAGAGTTATGGTTTTCAATAAACCTGAAGGACAGGACTCTCTATCTCCTCTAGTAACTTTTCTAAGTGGGTTATTAACTGTATTGAAACTTCCTACTCATCAGAAGATCTGTATCCCTTCACAAGTTAGAAAACATTGTTAGAACTTAGCCAAAGGCTAATAAGAAAATCAAAAAACTGTCTGTTTTTCTGTTCTTTCTCCAAGAAGCTCAGCCTGAAGCAATTACAGGGGAATGGAAATTATTTCAGGAGTGGCTCTCTTAACATGCATTGACAATTGCTGAATCTGGTAGCAACATACATTATGAATTGCTGAATCCAGTAGCCCAGCAGAGGTGAAGCTGCTAAGCTGCTGCAGCTCGACGTCCCCAGGACCATGCAGTAATGAGTCTAAGCATGTATTCCTATTTTCCCTTTCATCCTCTTCTTACTCTATTACCCATGCTTGTTCCTCCCCAATCCACTTTGATCCTTCCTTCTCCTTGCCGTTGGTCCTTCTCAGAAATGCCTCATAATATTATGTCTCTCTCAATCCCAAAATGCTTTTCCTGGCATCCCATAATGAATCTCATATCCTGTAGGGAGTAATCCCCCTCAGCCAGGGAAGAGCCTCTCTGGTTGGCTCATCTCAATAGATCTCACACCCAGACAATGCCTTCATCATCCTCTTTTAATGATCCTGAGGGGAGCCAAGTCAAGGTTATGTTTGTTCTGATTAAGTTATTGGCAATCCCCCACCTGTCATTGTTCCTTCCCTCCTTTGTGCTTATTGAGATTAGCCTTTAATAACAGAACCTAGCAACATGAAAAATAACGCAATTATGTGTATTACATGAGGTTTCCCCTCTAATAACAATATTAATAAAACATTTCGGGTAAAGACTTTCTTACTTTGCTTCTTTCTGTATTGACAGAACTGTATATTATTTTTGTTTAGCCACTCTTTATTTCCTGTAAAGTTCCTACTTTTATATCAGAATTGTGCTATACTTTGTTTCCAGCAATGAATATGTAATTGTCCTGGGCAGGAGTGAATAATCTGTGAGGAAAGAGATTTTGGGGGCAGGCCAACTGTCACAAATAGGCTGGATTTTTGCACCTCAGACAATTCTGTCAGTTGGGTCAAGGTTTAGATTTAACTCCCATTAGTTTCAACGCTTTTGAACCTTAACGGTCAAAAAAGTTGCAGGGTTGTACTTTCCTTTTTGCCTTCTTTAATAACTGCCTACTTTCTTAGAAGAATGTTGCTGTCTGATTTGGATCTGCTGTCAAAATGAAGTACCATGCATGAGTATCTGCCTCTACATTAAGAACTATGTTGGGGACTTTAGAATATTTTCTTCCTCTGCTGTGGGATCTCAAGGTTTCTCCATCATAGCCTAAATTATCACCTAAGGCCTGGAGCTGAAATTAAAAAATGAAGCACATGAATTCCCCCCCCTTTTTTTTTCCCCTCAGCAGTGGGGGCCTAGACTGCCATTACTGTCTTCCTTTCAAACATAACATACTGGTTTCTGTAGAAAAATATTATGGCCAAGCTTAAGTTCTGTATTGTCAATATGTCTCACATACACTTTCTGTCATTATCCAGTCTGGTGTTTATTTTATCTCTATATAACAAGGCCTAAGTTGTAAAGGTAGTATGAGATAGATTGATACGATATCATGCTTTTAATTTTCAATTAGGTAGCATTTCACCTACTCTCTGAAAAAAATGCTCTAGCTTTGTAGGGTTCTTTAGATACAAACTTTAAAAAAATTCTACATTATAGCTTTTTATAGTTTCTAATAAAACACCTATCTCTTCTCCCAACATTTAGAACATGAGTTCTAAAGTATTAAATATAAAGGGTTCTACACAGATACTCTATTATCTCTGTCTCAAACAACAAAGTTCATCTTAGTTTTGAATATCTAACTCATTTTGATCTGAGTACATCAAAACAACAATTATTAATGATAGAAGTAATAATGTCATATACACACTTGTGCTCTTAACACGTGTTAAGTCCTTGTTCAGAGAAAACCATGTTTTCCTACGCCTACATTTGATTTCAATAATCAAATACTGACTCACCAAAACATTTCAGTCATGCTGCCCTTAGCCTGACATCTGCCATCAGCACATTGACTGCAGCTTTTCTCCCATGTGACATGTCTTTACAAAAATATAAATGAATGATATGTTCACAGTTTGGGGGTTTTTTATATAGCAGTTATGGTATAAAAATGAAAACTCAGAAAAATACCCCAGAGACCCAGTCACGCTCTTTTGATGTCTCATATATCGTATCATATGGGAATGGTTCAAAGCTGTGCCAAGGGAGGTTTAGACTGGACATTAGGAAGCATTTCTTTACCTAGAGGGTGGTCAAACACTGGAACAGGCTTTCTGGAGATGTGGTTGATGCCCCAAGCCTATCAGTGTTCAAGAGGCATTTGGACAATGCCCTTAATAGCATGCTTTAACTTTCGGTCAGCCCTGAAGCGGTCAGGCAGTTGGACTACATGATTGTTGTAGGTCCCTACCAACTGAAATAGTCTATTCTAGTCTATTCTAGTCTAGTCTATATAAATAAATGTGCATTTCAGTAGTTGCAATTTTTGTAACCTCAGTGGGACATTGAAGTTAACTGGGATTGCTTCAGGACTGAACATATTCAAATTTACAATATCATTTGTGTTTAAAAGGAAAAAATGGTTCCAGTAATGAGCAAGGTACTTACACGTGTCTTAATGAGAGTAAAAGTAAAACAAGGAGACTTTGGGTAAGTTTAACAAATGTATTCAAGTGAGTTAGGAAGTGAAGTTCAATGGTGATAATGTCTGTTGAAGGCACACAAAACAATTCATGTGGTAACTCTTGCTTGTAGTGTCTAGCTGAAAATTATAGCCCCACATCTTTTTTCATTTGCCTTGACACAATCATTCTGAGCTTAAATTATTTTCAGGAGTTTCTTACTGTATTTAAGCATTTTTGCAGCAGCTTTGCATGAGCATGGATTTATTTATACTAGGAGACAGCTATATGACTTCATAAGAATACATTTCAGGCATGGTAGAAGAGTTATACAGCTTCAGGTAGATCTGTGGGTTCTTTCCAAACTTCCTGAAGTAAAACTTGGCATATTTCTTTCCTGCCACATTTCAGCGATAAAATATCCCATGCAATTGATCTTATCCACCGAAGCAAACAGTTGTCATGGTTTAAGACTTTATTTGTCAGCCCTGCTTTTCTGCCAGAGACTATCCCCTTCCTATAGCAAACTTGACTGCAGCACATGTGTGCCTATGCCTCAGTCACCATAGCTCAGGGTGGTGTGTTACTACAACCTTATCTTCACTGATGTCTCTTCTGCTACTCTTGCTATTTGGGCAGAAGCTTTTGCAAGAAATAAATGGGTAGCTGGAGCTGATAATTCCAGCCATGACCTCCCGTGCTTGTCCTTCACAGCTGTTAATATTTGTTATAAACTCTCTAATATTGATTCCAACCCTCCCTTTCTCATATTACAGATGGTGAAGGGTTGAGTCAAGAAAAGAAAGAACAAAAGCCTATGATTAGAGCTATCAGCCTCTCTGAAAGCTCTTATCACTTTCTGAACATCTATAAGAAAAAGGACATCTTAATTTACTTTGTTTAATGTCTGTCCATCTGTCTTCCTTGACCCTGTCCAGCACCAGTCTTTTAAATGAAATCTCTTAAGTGTTTAGACGCACTGTAAAAATTCAGACGTGCTTAGCTTCTGTGCCACAGCTATTTCCATTGAAGTCTTCAGGACTGTCTGTGATTAATTTATGTATGCATGTGAGAATTTGCACGTTGACAGCCTTAACAAAGTGTCTTCCATTTTGTACCTATTTTTCTGCACGTCATTTCCCCTTTATGTATATTATGGAGTCTTGATCTATTTATTATGGAGCATCAAGACTCATTTTGCTTGGCTGCATTCCTGTCTATATCAAAAGCAAATAAAGAACTAGAATAAGTGAAGAATTTTCTTGAAGAATTTGACACATGCTAAAGGTTGTGGTTCTTTGTCTGCTAACCATATAAGAAGAGGCTTGTTTACAAGATAAAGTTTCCTGATTCTGCATAAATCGGAAATTCAATGTTTTCAACCTGTTTTTCATTATGTTTGTGGTTTCTTTGCCAAAAAAGAGAAGTACTTGAAAACAAATGCTGTAATTTCAGATTTTAAAACACATTCTTGTTTAATGTGAGTTTTGGGTAATCATAACATGTTGAGATGTACTAGTGGTGTTTTATTACTCTAACAATGGTCTAAGGACATAAGTAAAACAAGGCTTGTAGGAAAAAGTAATCTTTATTGACCAACTGATACAGTCAGAAAAATTACACCAGCCTTCAGGTGCACAAGCCCTTCTTGAAGTCAGAAGCATTTCTGCCCAATAGGAGCTGTTCTGTAGAACACCAAGTGCGCTCTTTTGCAAGGTGTTGGTTTTGAGCATAGTTTGAGCACAGAACACATAGATTATAATGAATGAAAAATATTCTTATGTAAAAGCACTGAATTAAATAAAGTGCTTCCCCACTTTATTCACAGGCATGGGGCATCTGATAGATGGTCTGCCTTTCCCCACAGATCAGGTAGCTGATCATAAAATGTTTTGGTCAGTGTGCAATACCTGACCATTAAAGTAACTAACCCCCTTTTTGCAGGTGATCAAATATAAGTTTATAAGTATATCTTTATTTCTGTAGTGTCTTCATCACCCCTCAATGGGTTTGTTAAAGTTACTAATGATTTTATTTGTGCCAACAGAATTTGAGGACAATGATGAGCAGCTTCCATCTGAAACTGAACAAATGCCCCAGAAACAGTCCAGTGACTCTGCAGGTTATAAAGAAGAATCTAAACCTACAGGTTGGCCTTGTAGCACATATAATCTCTCTTACTTGCTAGTATAAAGAATTGTCTTTTCTGCAAGCTTTTACTATTGGCTGTAAATATCATTCCTTACCTTAACTTTTTTCTTTTAAAGAAGTTTATAATGGAATAGTCAGGTTCAAGTTATTTAAACACTTATAAATGCAATTAAAGGCATGTTGTTATTTCCTGTTAAAAATAATGCACCAGGTATTTGCACTTTGAAAAACAACAAAATCCCACTATTGCCTCTACTGCCTAAATACCAAATTAATAAATGTGTACAGGGACCTATGGAAATATCAAATAAAGTGAGCATTGCTGAAATTCCAGGTTGACATAACCTCTTGTATTCAGAAATCCATGAGCACTCTCTACAGGATGAAGTGATAAGGGAGGGAAATCAGAGGAAAATAGAAAGTCACTCTCATGGATTGTGACACCCCCCCCCCCCCCCCCCCCAAAAAAAAAAAAAAAAGTATAAAGAAGAAAATACCAGGAAAAAATGGGGAGGACAAAAAAAAAACCAAACCAGGAAATAATCAAGCTGCAGTATTCACAAACACCTGCATGTGATTTTAACAAACACCAGTTCTACAGATCATTTTAAAATTAATATTATATCCACATTAATCAGAAATTACTAGTCCGTTCCCCATGGCAAGGGATCTTGGGAAAAATGGGAATGGATTAATTTTAACTTTGGATTTGAATGATCAAAATATGTCCTGTACTTTCCTTAGTCATCCATTGTCTTGCTAACAGCTTGCTAGATTTCACAGGGAGTCGTGTTATCTTCTTTTTGGTATAAGGTAAAATTCTGCAGCACATGTAACTCCATAGAACCATAAGCTAATGAAAAGATATACGAAATCCTATAGTAGCCTTCTCTCAAAAAACACTTTGAAGGCAACTCATCTTTAATGGAGACAGTCTGCTTTAGTTTTTAAAATACACATTTTAGCTTTTATCTACTAGAATTTTTAGAATATGTTTAAGTCCAAAAGAGAAATAAATCCAACCTAAAACATTTTATTTTAAATAGCAAGTTGTTAAATATACACATTTTATGCATTAGAAAGAATCAATTTAATCTGTAAACCGAACTGTGCTTTCTTCCAAGTACCATAAATCAGTACACACAATATAAGTTTGTCTACTAAGTACATTTCACTGTAATATGCTGAAAGTTATTTGGCAGCATATATTTATAAGTAATAAAAAGTCTGTATAAACAAACTACATGGTCTGTTTCAAAAAGACAAATGAAAGTATGTTTATAATGAAATACCTATCAGTTCCATGGAATGGAAGCGTCACTGTTATCCTACATTTTGCCTTTCTGTTCATTTTGATAGTTAAACACTAATGAAGAAGACATGCTGGCTTCTGGTATCTCTGTCTCAGCTTTGGCAAGGTTTGAGAGGGGAGGAAAGAAGAATATTTTCATCTTTTTTGTTGCTGAATATGGACTGAGGGCAGAATAAGTCATATCTAATACTAGCAGAACACTGGAAAAAAAGATACTAAAGCCCTTCCTTCCCCAGCAACTCACTTGGAGAATGTGCAGGCAGAAAGCCTTTGAGGATTGTTTGTCTCTATGGTAACTATGCTCAGTAAAAGCAAAGAAGACACAGAGCAAAAGAATATGAGAGATGGCCATATAAGCATTCCCTGTGAAAGCTCCAGATTTAGGCCCGGGGAGGATTGTTTCCTATCACCTCTGTGATAAGGAAAAGAAATTAAAAACAGCACTGTTAGATAGACCGCCACCTCGTCTGAAGGAAACTTGTTTGCATATTTAGATCCATTTATTTTTAAACAGTTATTGTCTTTTCAAGTCTTTTTCTTGACTATGTTTCTTATTTCTTTAAAAATATCTTCTCACTGTAAATCACCTCTGCAAGCAGAATTATTATAACATATCTAATAGCAAAGGCACAGCTGCCTGCCTTACTTAAAAGTATTTTCAGTATTTTTGATCCCTGAGACCCAGTTTGAAACAAACCAAATGCCAGGGAGGCAACATTTTTGTCATAATAAGGTTCAAATACCTAAACCAAAACCAAATAATGTTTGGGTTGTCCAGTTTTGGCATTGTCACTTTTCCCTAGGAATATAATCCTTTTTTCTTTTGTTACTTCTCCCCTCTTTCCAGGGGAAAGTTTCTCCAGCTTGCTTAGGCCTGTATAATATATTTTAAAACTCCGTAAGTATGCAATAATTGCTGCTAGATAAGTTTCCGTAAGCAAGAAAACTCTCAGATAGAGGTAATCTGCTGGAATTATGTGCCTAGAGTAGAGAATCAAAGCTGGAGCACATGCTGGTCCATCATTTGCTAAATATGGCCTATCAGGAGAGGTGTCACATGAATTGTGTTTCTGAGATTAAGGTTCATACGGTAAGCACTCTATTGAGTGGGTTCATTACCATGTCCAATATTCTGTCTCACATGATGTCAAATATTCATTTAAATCCATTCTTCTGCCTGTGTATTTCCAAAGTTTCATGACCTACTCAGAACTGAGAGGTTTTTAAAAGGCAGGACTATAACAGATGATCTGTCGAAGGCTAGGTCCAGACAGCCTGCATTGCCATCTTCCATACGTTATTGCTTTGAATAGGGCTGTGGTTCACAAAGCAGCACATGTGATTTCTACAGTGTGAATGTGCCAGGGATAACATGTGCAAAAAGCAGATCGTGTAACCTAGTTATTAATGTATCCTTTGCTTATTTTCTTAAAATCTGTGTTCCTAATGGAGTCGTCATTACACAATGCATTAGTGCAGCCCAAATTTAAGCAGGTTTTACCTGGCTACATCTCTGTCTCATTTAGAATACATCACTGCAGAATGCAAGATAATTAGTTGTGACATTTACACATCTTTTAATGTACAAAAAAAGGAAGGTATTTTCATGTTCCTATTTAGAATCAGGGCAAGAGACAGAAATGTCATTGCAGAGGATAACTAATGTAATGATGTATATAGAATGAGTGTGTAGTTTAGTAAAATGCAAATGTTTATAAACATTTTCAAGAAAAAATTAATTTCTAATTCAAGATCAGACTATTTGAAATCTGCAAGGCGTTTCTGCTTATTGATATGCCCTTTTGCACTTTTGGTTTATGCTTGGACTAATAATCATTCAAATAGAGGGAAGGTTAGCCACTGAGGTGTCAGTCTAATAGTTGTGTTGTTCAAAGCTGTAAAAAGAAGAGGGGAAATGCATTAAGTATTCTTTGTTATAAGAGATCACAAAAATACTTGCCAAAATGCTTATTTGTTACCTATTATTTAAAAGTGGCTCGATTAAAGTGTTGTAGTTCATCCTGGGGACGGCTTGTCAGGACACAGTGAGGGCCAACTGCTCCCAAAGGAGCAGGGAGGTGGGAGCAGAGTGTGGTAATATGGCCATCAGGACAGGGCCCAGCAGCCAGAGCCTGTCCCACCACCCCAGCCAGGAGCAGGGCAGCTCCAGCCCTGGGCACTGGGCACCTCCCTGGGGACAGGGACGAGCTGAGGCCGGGCAGGGATGCTGGCCCGTGGGTGGGCCCAGCTCGGCAGAGCCCGTGGCTAGGCAGGGCTGTGGGGAGGTGGGGACCAGCCCTGCTGTGGGATTGCTGGGGCAGGGACTGATGGCCCTGGGGGCTGACATGGGGTCCTGGGCCGTGGGCAGGTGGAGGGAGCTCCAGGGGCCTGGGCAGAGACAGCCAGGCCTTGGGGTGCCCTCAGGTCCCTGAGCCAGCATATGAATGGCCATAGAGGGCCTGATACATTTCAAATCTCAGTTTATCATATATTTAGTAGAGGTAAATGGGGGGCATTGAAAGAATGAAAGTTTCAGGCCTCATAAGTGGAATAAAACTCTTAAAAGCACCTATCTAGAAATTTAGTATATTTCTAGAGGACTACACATTAAGAGTCAGACCCATAAGGACATGTAGACATTGCAGTGCCCAAAACTGCCATACTAACTTTTACGTTCCTGGCTTTATATATGGAATTAAGGGTTATAGAAATAAGCACAAGTAGAAAACTAGCAAGGGGTCAACCTTAGTAAGCCATGGAGGAATGTTAAAAGGAGGCATGTATTTGAAACCCTACATCTTTTTAAATTTGGCCAATGACAAAAGAATGGGAGTCCCAAACTCTGGCTCTTTGGCAGTTAACTCACTGGATGCAGGGCACTGGCTTGCTTTCTTCTATAAGACAGTAGTGGCACTGACCTTTAATATAGTAGCTTCATAGGTAACTTAGCCATCCAAGTCAGAAAAATTTGTTAGATGCGTTCCTTGTCCTGCAGGCGCTCACATATCCCAGCTGCTATTGACACTTGAGGCGATGCTTTAGTTGGTAGCACGTTAGACAAAACTTAGGCAGCGTCTCTACTCTGACCATTATGTTTAGTCCTGTTTCCTGCCAAATCTTACTGGTACCCAACCACTGAAATCCAGCTACATTGTACTTAGTAATAGCATTTTTTGATCTGGCTCTATTTTGCAAAATTAAATGTGGCATTTGTGGATTTCTTCAACAATCCACAAGGAAAGATTGATAGACATTCAGTTCTGGGAGGAAATACTAGTTTTCTTAAAGAAGGAGATTTAACAGGGCAATCTAACTCGTCATGAGCCAGAAAAATTGTTTGGATTTTTCAGGTTGGGGCAAACTCAAAATGAATGTTACAGTGCTGCAATTTCACATAGTGAGCATTGGCCTGCTTAATGCCAGGCAGTAACCGTAAAACACTATGTTTTTAATGGTTTGGGCTTTTGTATTTTTAAGAAAATGGTCAAAGCTTTTAACATACAAGGCATTACATAAGGCTTTCATTTTTAGTAATACCCGTCTTTTTTATGTGCAGGAAGTTATACAACAAAAAATAGTAGTAATGGTCCTTTTTTGTAAAAAATCAGTAAAAGTTCATTGAAATAGACGGATCCTGTTGTTGCTTGTGTCAAAAGCTCTTCCTGCTCTTTCAAACTCAAAACAAGACAGAAACAAAAAGAGGAGGGGAACATTACAGCGAAGTAGAAAATCACTCCATCCGCTGTTCAGGCTCTTTCTTGCAGCTTCATTTCTGGCAAAACACAAACACAGCATACACTGTAAGTCCCAGCAAACTTACAGTAATATCAGACCATGTAAGTCATTGCTCTCAACTGCTTTTCTGTCTGTTAGCTGAAGGCACTGATATCAGACTTATTAAACAGAACACAAAAGAAAAATGGTAAGAAGAAAATCAGGGTTGAAAATTATATGAGTGCAGGGAATGGGAATAGCAGTAACAACACCACATTGCTGCTGCCAGAGACTGTTCATGATTTAGTAAGGACAAGGTGGTGATGGTGTCATCTAGGCACCTCTGTATCTTCTTCTAGCTGAGATAGAACTTTGTCTCAGGGCTTTTAGGGCCTAACAATGTCTAAATGGATACTAATTAATGGTTGGACCTGATGATCTTAAAGGTCTTTTCCAACCTAAACGATTCTATGATTCTAATTGCAGCCCTAGGAACCAATGAGTATCTTTCTCCTTTTGTGTTAATGTGTTAATATCAAGTTTTTAACTAAATATCTGCTGTCAATATCAAGTTTTTAATTCCCTCTGGCTTTTTCAGCAAAATGGATGGTGGTGGAAGCAGTCATCCCTTTGTTATTTTGCAATTATGACAACACATGTGGTATGGTTTCATCATGTTTACCATGAGTAGTACCTGTGAATTTCTTATTTATATTAATGCATTCTTTCAATCTCTAATTTTTGTTTACTTTTCATGAGACAGTGTTAGGAGACAGTTTTCGAATTCTCTTAAGTCCAGTCTTAAACAATTGACACTACAAATTTCTGCACGATGTATCTTAAGACATTAAAGTCTTTTCTTTCCCTTACTTACTAAACAAGCTATTGTATGCAGACATGGATTCAATAAAGGCAAGATTTTTTTGAGAGTTTCTCAGTCCAAGTATCCACAGAGGGAAGCCATGATATAATTTTTTAAAATTTTTCCATTTACTTATTCATTCATACTTGTATTACTATTATTATCATCATTTATATACTCCTTGTCCTAGAGTGTATTGACTAGCAGATGGGATTTACATCCAGAGTCCTTTTCCTTGTATAACTATGGATGACTTCTAGCCTCCAGAGAAATGGGTTACACTTTTGCATCTCATTGTTGGTACTTCTTAGAATTACTCCACACATATATACACCTGTATTGCTTCATAGCACCGGTATTTGGGTTCTATAGGTCACCTTTGTCTGCAAAAGTATGCGTGTTCTTAAGATCCCTATAAGTGTATACCTGAGAAAGTGCAGAGGGAACAGCACACAAAGTCATGCTCTAACAACATGGTAAACCTAGGCTGCCGCTACTTGCAGGGGCTTTGCCAATAGTGTAAGAGAAGCTGTTCCTGAGAATCCTGTGAATAACAGAGTGACTTTCGAGCATAAAGTGACTCCTCTATTTTTTGGGAGGACCTCCAGCCTTCAACACCTACATGTTCTCCCTATACTCAGTAAGATAAATAGAGGTGATACCAGTTTCTTCCAAGACAATGCATTATCATACTAATTTTACCATCCTGATCCATTTCACTGGGAAGAGCCAAAATGTCTCAACAGATAACTTATTCTAAACAGGAATTCCTAGTATTTGAAAACAACTTTTAAGATTGAAGAAGTACTAATAGATGTTTCAATTATTATTTTGTTTGGAGTTTTTAAAGATATTATCAATGAGGAGAAAAATAACTTTTCTTTGAAATTGGCACCAATCCTTTTATGATATGCAGTATATTTTTAATGCATATATAGTGCATAATTTATGCCATTATCTGCTGTAAACTTTAATTTTTCATCACACATGTATGACCAAATTGTCTCTGAATATGTAACAGACAACCTCTTCATTAATTTCTGTACATTTATAAATGCACAATTGGAAAGATGCATTCATAACTCTTAAGAGGCCTGGTTTAGTGGTTAAATCACACAAATGAAGCTTGAAAATCAGAAGAAATTAATTCCCTCTTTCAATTCTGCTGCAGCCTTGGTTGTGAAATGGAAGTATTCCATTTCTCTGAACAAATAAATCTGTATTTCAAGCTGTTTAACACCCACAGTTTCTGTTTCATATAACTGGCAAAAGTGTGTTCAGCATCTCTGCAAAGATTAAACATTAGGTATCCAGGAATTGAGACATTTCCATTACAGGTCCCTTGTAAAAGGTGGATCATAATCTGTGTTCCTGTCTTGCCTCATTTGTTAGTTACGGTTAGAGGCATCAGTTGTAATTTGTTTAAGAGCTCTTATATTGCATGGTTTAGTGTTCTACCTCACTGCTTTGCCTTTATCAATTTAGGATTTCAGTCCTAATATCCTTGATATTTACACTGAAGTGGACTTCTTTGTTTAGTCCTTTCTTTTTCCTTTCTCCCCTAAATCTTCTATTTTCTCTGCAATTTTTCCATGTTGATCTTTATATATCTGTGTGCCTTTGTTTGGGTAAATGAAGGTTTAATTAATTAACATTTGTATATTGAGATGCCGAAGAGGAAAACCACCTAGTAGTATGCGTTATATTTCTATTGACATAAAGAGAACATACTCCACTTGGAAAAGAACAGGTACCTAACATGCAACCTGGACACTCCACAACAGCTTCAGTAACTGAACCTGAACCAGGTCAGAACATGAAGGTGCTTCTTTGCAGTGTACGCTAGGTTTCCTACTCTTTATTTCTTCTTACACTGGCATGTTCTGTATGAGGCATGACCATATGGATAGCCTGTCAAAAACTGTTCATCATTAAATCATAGGTTTTAAATTAATATATATTCCTTACATTTCATTGCAGAAAGAGTCATTATATTTATTTGTGTGCTGATTTAAATAACCATATGCAAATTCAGTTAAGTAATTTGACCTTGTTTATTTTCCTGGAGAAGCATCCGTACATACTATATCAACATAATGAATTTGGCATTTTCAAAGTTTCTTTGTAAACTAGCAATATAGTAATTCATAATTATGGGGCAGGGAAAGGAAGCAGCGTTAAAAGAAATGCCACTATATTTGAGGAAAATAAAAATAATCTTAAAGCATAATGATAATTTTTAAATGCAAAACATTTTGGAGGAACATTGCCTTCTATATACTATCTGATTTTCAGAAATCGTACTACCTGAGTTTGCAGAGGATGATTTTCCAGATATACCAGAAATGGAAATGATTAAAAGGAAGATTGACATTTTCATGCATGACTGGCAAACAGTGGAGTCAGAAATCAAGCAGTCACCTCTAGTTCAGGTTGTTGTTTTAGAGATTGCTGAGCAAACTCCAGAAAGTCTGCTTAATCAGACCGTGTTGGTTATGGAAAGTAAGTAATACCATTTATGTGATTTACAGTTAACCTACCAAGAGGGATTTTGGAGAGCTTGTATGATTAATATATTGGGGGGGAGAGGGGGGGTAGGTTATACTCAGTCTGTATTACTCACATGAAGTGGGAACAGGACATGCTGTGTTCTGTGGGTCAGCTGAAAAGCACACTAGCAGCCTTTAAGACATAGTAAGAGTGGGGAATATATATATTTGAAAAGGACATATATGGCTATACAATTATGTACATAATAGCTCCCTAAACATTCTGACAGCACAGTTCCCCAGTTACTTACTCTATCTGTTCATGTCAGGATACTGGTTTGAGAAATGGACAGATAACAAAGGTTCACTAATGTACAATATTTGTTGAAGTCAGTAAGACTTTCAGGGTGTGTAATAATCTAATCTACCCACCTGCATAGATTGTGTTTCAAGACTGGATTTTTATAGTATTGATTTTTTTTGGCAAATTACCTTTCTTCACTTGGGTGCTCAAATCTCTAACAATTTTGAGTACTGGATAAATAATATTAATACTACATTTTTCCTATCATTACTACAATGCAAGTGTTTTCTTAACCAAAACATCTATTGTGTTGGCTTTATAATCAAATAAAATTTGACTGATGATTTTCCCCAATAAACAATAGGAAAAAAACTGTTGCAAACAGTAATGGCACTATCTGCGTGTGTTTGTATAATACTTTTGTACTACAAGTTCCCGTTGAAAATACCAATTTACTTCAACCAAAAAACAACCAGTAGAACTTCCATTTTTGGAAGAAGTAATAGATTAATTACTACATCCGGGGAGAACATTTTGTTCTATGAGTAGGAGAAATGCAATATACAGTGGGCATGATTTGCTCTCACATATGTGCTTACTTTTATGGACAAAAGAGAATATATTCTGCCATAGGCAAATGAAAAATATTGAAACATTAAAAAAAATAACCTTTTCAGAACCTTTTAAATATCATGGTTGGGAATTATCTGCTGAAGACCTAGATGAGGAAGCAGAAGATCTGGCTGCTGAAGAGGAAGATGAAGAAGAAGTTGTTGAAGAAGAGGAAAATGAAGATGAAGAAGTAAGCATGCTGGCTTTGTCTATTTATGCTTTTATTTTAACTCATTTCTTTTCAGTTTGAATATAACCCCAGAGAAGTTGGATTTTGCACCTGATTTTGTATGATCCACTTTCAGCCTTCTTACAGAATAAATATCAGCATATGCTTCAAGAACACTTTCATTGTATTCCTATGTTTCGGCTGATAGTAGTTTTACTCCAGCAGGAAGCATAAATACCCCATGCTAATAGAGATAATGAATGTACCTACTTTTGCCAGATGGCAAAGAGGGATTTTGTTAAAGAAACAAATGTGAAGTTTGATTTCTGTCAACTAACAATGATTCTGTGAGCCATCATGTAAACATGAGTGCAGGGTCCTAATGTGCAATCCTCTGTTTCATCTCAGCTGTTGATAATTTTCAAACACCTACTTTAATGAAATTAAAGGTCTAGCTTCACCTTTGTTCTATTTTCATCCTATACTGGAAGATGCCTGTCCCCAAATTTAACAGTACAAGATACCCATACACTGTACTGGACCAGTATTAAATAGATTTTTTAGAAATTAATTTTATTGGATAAGTAATCTGACTTCATAATACCAGTTCTCATTGCCTTTTCTGAAGAGGTCTACTTCCATACATTTAAAAGCAACAGGAAGTGAGTTTCAAGAACACAGCAGGAGAAGATTTTATCACAGATACTTCTAGCTTAATTTTGGTCTTCAACAGCTAACTATGATATTATCATTTCAAATTTTAAATGGTCATTCTTTTCTCAATAATTGTCTCACTAGACTGGAGAGTTTGGTTTTTGACTCTGAATCTAAAAAGCGTGTATTTTCATAGACTTATATTCAGCTTACAAACTATCTTGAGAATAACATTCTCATTGAATGCTCAGTTGATGTATTTGACATTACTTAATCTGATCTACTTGATCTACTTAATCTATGTGAATTACTGATTTCAAATAGTTTTTGAAAATTTTTGTATTATTTTCAGGATGAAGAAAAAACTAAGGAAAAGAAAAGGCACATGGGAGACACAAAACACTTTTGTCCAGTCAGTGTAAAAGAGAACTTTGTCCTTTACCCAGGACTCTATGAACACGCAGCTAAATATCGAGAAAAGATTTATTACTTTCCAACTTCTGAGTACAGAGATAAATTTTTGAAGAACCCCGAGGAGTATGTAGCTCACAATGAACCGATACAAGTGAGAATCTTCAAAAATTTTTAAAGCAGATAATAACAGATTAAAATCACTATTATCCATTCCCATTTATAATTGTTTATTATTGTTGATTTTTTCTAGGTAACAATAACTGTATCAGGCAAGTCCTTGAAACAAACAAAACACACTGCTTCCCTCGTGACTTTTTGGTGTACATTTAAATTAACACATTAACAAATTAATGATGCAAATAAAGCAGAAGAGAGAGGAAGATTATAAGGGCTTACAGTAATCATAATACGTGATTAACAAATCACAAATATTGGGGGTTTCTTTTTTACTATCTTTGAGTCTTTTTTTGTAAGTGGAAGAAGGGTAAAAGATTTACCAGAATTTTCTAACGAGGTTTCATTTTTACCTACTGGCATCAACTGCCATAGTGTATTTCTTCAGTATTTCCAGAGAGCAGGTAGTCTGTTTGGAACAGCAGTAGAAGGCCTGGAAAAATTAAAATGCAAAACCATGTGACTATTTTTGATGCAATTTTTATAATGATATTTTGGAAGTGAAAAACAGTAGGGGGTGCACTATAGACTCCAAATTCTTATAAAATATTCCAATTCTTTCCTATAGGCTCCTCCTTTACGGGTGTGCTTACTTGGGACTCATGGAGCAGGCAAAACTACTTGTGCACGAGAGATAGCAGACAAATTAGGCATTTTCCATATTCAGTTTGAAGAATATCTACAGGAATTGATCTTACCCAAAACTAAAGAGAAAGTTGGGCCCAATTTTGATGAAGAACCAGAAGAAGATGACAATAAAATGCCAATTCTATCACAGGAACTGGACAACTTCTCTCAGACCCTGAATAAAACTGAGATTGAAAAAAGAAAACAGGTAATAATCTGATCTTTTTTATATCCATACACAAAATAACTATTTTCAGACCAGAATAGCAATTTCCTATGAAATTTTAGCTTGATAAAAATAACGTATGTTAAATTATTTACTTGATGAAATGTGGAAACAATAGTTCTTGACAGTGTTTTCTTATGAATGCCACAAACATTCTTCAAAACATTTCCAAGAATTACATACAGGTTTTTTCCTAAACAGTAGAGATAGATGCTAAATGGGGCAAAGTAAGACAAACTGAGGAAAAATAATGAAGGTCAGAGTAATAACGGGAAGGTATGGTTTCTTTCACGTATTTATAATATGCAGGTTCAGTCTGGTGCGTGTGCTCCAGTTACACAGGGGTTTAGAAATGTTCACAAGCAGTGCTCTCTGCACTCTCTTGGGGCAAAAGAACAGAATTCCTCTACCAGCCCTTCAGTGTGATCATACCTTGTCAAAAAATCAGAAATATTTCAGTGTTCATAACAGGGTAAGCTAGTATTTATTTAATACAGGAGCTTTTGTAATCCGGATTGTAGTGTTGTCTTTGCCTATTGGCAACAGAGTTGCAAACCAGAAAAACCTCTTAGGTAGCATAAAATATGCCTTGTAGTTACAAAAATGTTTAAAATAGCTGCATATTCATGATACTGGTAAAATAATTCATGAATGATAGTTTTCAGAAAATTAGTTCTTTTTCTTAATCACATTGAATACTAGTTGAAAATTGTTACAAATACACATTCTAACACCCATCTCTTACAGTGTGTAATTTCTGTGAATGATAAACATTTACATAAATGTTTATCAGGAGAGAGTGATTTCTTTTATTAGACAGTGATATATTGGGAAAAACAAGGGAAAGACAAGGTTTCAACGCAAATTAATTCTTCTTTAGACAGCAGTGGATATGATAGAAGCCTTTATTGTGTGGAGAAGTCTCAACACACAGCTGCAGAGCATATAAATCTTTCAAAAAAAGAATAGTACAAAGACATTGAAAATCTGCCTCCTAGGCAATATAAATAAGGGTTTATCCAACTTGCAGGAAGAAGTAAGTTTCTGCATCACATTCTAAGAGCCATTTCTTTTTTGTGCTCCTGATACCTGCTATGTTCCTTCAAGTTACTAGTCATTAAAGACCTTCAAAGACTTCCTTCTATAGGATCTAAGGAAGCATGCAGGAGGGGGAGCAGGCTACAGAGGAGGCATACAGAAACAACATCCAGGCACAGTATTAGGAAGATGAGCACTCAATGGAAGTTGAACCTAGTGAGGGATCTAAAGGGTAGCAGGAAGAATTTCTACAGGAACAACAGTAGCAAAAGGAAGACCTAGAAAATGTGAGTCTGCCACTGAGCAGGGCAGGTGACCTTTTGATGAAAGACACTGAAAAGGCTGAGATGCTCAATGCCTTCTTTACTGTACTTTACAAGTACCGTCTTAGTCTGTGGCCTTCTAGGTCTCTGTGCCTAATAGGAAAGCACGGGTAAAGCGTGGTACTAGTCACAGCAGAATAGGATCAATTTTGTGATCATTTATGTAATCTAGACATATACAAGCCAATGAGGTGCATTCACAGGTGCTGAGGAAACTGCCAAAGGTGCATTCAAGGCCACTCTCTATTGCCTTGAAAAGTGGGGGAGGTCCCTGATAACTGGAAGGTAGTGCTCCTGATGAAATAATACAAAAGCAGGTAACACTGGAAGAAAATGCTTCAACACAGATGGAGTACAGATCAAAATCATAGATGTCAGAACAAAAATTCCGATTTTCATCAGTTAAATCGGAAAGGAGGTTCTTTTGGCAAGTCAGTTTACAACTTGGTCATCACAGCCAAAAATATGGCAAGTGTTCCTGGCACTGATGGTTATGGCTTGCTCTCTCAGCTTTATTTTTTTGGCCTCAATACATGTCTTACACTAAGGCACTTCTGTTAGTATTTTTATCTCATCATCTTTTCATCTGCTGGTAAACAATATTCTTCTACATTAGTATTTTTTTCTCGCACTACTTGTAAAGTACTTTATCTGAAGGCATGACCAAACCACAGCTGATGCAATTGCAGTTCAGTTTAGAAACACATTCATTGGTCCATGCACAGAACTCTAGAGGATTATTTCCAAGATTGTGGACTTCCTAAGCATTTCTTTGAGTATGACTACCACCAGACTGTCCGACTACCCTGTTTTTCACTGACCCACTACCTCTCTGAAATAATTTAATTTAATTTCATTTGTATCATTCTCTTTCACTTTCGCACAAGACACTAGAAGCATATCTACCAAAGCTTAAGGTAAAGGTCAGCTATAAAATTCAAAGCAAAAATACTAAAGGCAAATAAAACATACCATGCAGTCTGAGAAGTTTCGCAAAAAGATTATCATCCTGGTTGTTTCAGTATGCGTCAACCAAAGCCTTCACAGCACTGACAGGTCTGGGGAGCACCCTTGTCCTTTGAACCACTGCTATGCGGGGTGTTCTCTTTTCTGTACCCAGAATATACATCTCGTGTATCTTTTCTTTTATCAGATACAAATGCCATTTCAGCAGTTCATCTGCAGTGGTGATGTCAGTGCTACATTTTTATACGGGTTTTACTGTTTTGTCCCATTTCACACATTTCTTTCAAGGTGCCTCTGTGTTACAGATCTGGCTACCACTTTCGCCGCCTTAGGTATCTGTTATGCCATACTAACATCTTTGAATATATACTCTGTGTCAGGCACTGGAGAAAATATTACTTGCACACACTACATTAGACCTGTGGCTTCCAGCATATTCTCAAGTTCTTTTGGCTACATTATCAAAACAGATGTCAGGCATAGGAATTCTTATTCAGACATGTCCTTGCAACAAGCAGCTCCCTACTATCATGAATTTTGAGGGTTCCTGAATCACTTTGGATCCTTTTGTCAAAAAGGGTTATTCCTTTATTTTCTGACAGGTTATGCTAACAAATTCTTGAGCAATTTGGGTTAATATGACTACCACATGAGGAAAGGACAGCAGAACTTTGTAATTAATTCACAAAAGAACCTCAGGGGACAATTTAAATCCATTTGCTGAGAGGGACAGGAGAATACCTAGCTGCATATTAAGTCTTCTCCCCAAGTGACTTTGGATGCAACTTAGGTGTATGTTTGACACCGCTGACATTTAAAAAACACACTCTTCTCATAGTGTATATCTAGTCTTCTTAAACAAATACAGATGACTTTTTACAAATGAGACCTCTATAAGGTATGGCAGAAGAAGTATTGAACTCTTTAAAGGATACCAGATACATTTCTCTTACAAACTTTGCCATTCTGTTTTCAGGGCAGGGGGGCGGTGGGAATCAACTAATTAGAAAATAATATTTTCTTCTGTGAATATTACCATGAAAAATTAACACAGCAGGTCAGGAACAGTGATATTTTCTGAATTCTAATGTTGTCTTTTATCTGGTATACTTGTAAAAACATGTATTTTGATATTGCAACTGCTGTAAACTAACCCAGAATCACCAATCTATACTCTCTTTTCATTCTTTTTTACTGCAGTTTGTGTCAGGAAGCCATTTTATGAATAGTGCATCCTCAGCCATATCAATCTCACAGTGTTACATATTCTGAAAATACAGTTTTTCAAAAGAACTTAACAGCTAGATTTGGTATTTGAATGCTCTGCATTTGACTAGTCATTAATACTACTACTGCTCTGTAGAACAATGCTATCTTTCTGATTTCTGATCATGTGCCTATACCCAGTAACCTTACATATCTTTCTTTGACATCTTTCTTTGGATTTCATCAAAAGATAAAAGTTGCTTTTAAAAAGTAAAAAAAATATTCTGATGTAGAGCAGATATTCTTCCAGCATGAGAACATGTATAAATAAGTGGAAAACTTCTTGTAGGCAACTAGGAGAAACTATGACCATTTCCATTTCTGTTTCTCTGAATTGAGCACATGTATAATTAAATACTTAACAATTGTGCTTGGTTTTAGGTTTCATTAAAACTCATACAGCAGCAATTGCCCCAACTCTAGCGAATTACCCAACCCCAAGCACATGAAAAATATCCCCAAATGTATAATGTAGTACAATGAAATGTGGCAAATGAGTTTACTTTGTTTCTGCTGGTTTAAATCAAATTAAGACAGTACCTTACGTAGTCAAAAATAAATAAATGTGTCAGGTAGATCTTTCTGGGTTTTTTTTTTTTCTCATTTTTTTGTGGATTTCCTTTATGTAAAGGAAGTGGAGTTAACTGATGAGGAAGCAGCAATCAAAGCAAATCTAATGGATAATGAGGTACTGCCTCCAGAAGTCCTTGATAACATTGTTCTTGACTGGTGGAGGAAAGAGCCATTCCGGTAACTGTAATTAGATTATCTTTCTTTAATTAATCTTAGGAAGTATATCATCTATTGTGTCCACAATTACAAATAACTATTGCAGAGATTATTTTGATGCTCTTGTACTTCTCATGAATCATGACCTATCTCTCAGTCTTGTTTTTGTTGCAGTATTTTGATTGGTATTTTGACAGTAAAATAATGTCTCATGCTTTACACAGGACTGGACAAAAGTACTTAGTGCACTTAAATTGGATTAAATCTCCTGAATAGCCGGGTAGTTTTTGTGGGCTTACAGGATAGATATGTATATAAACCCTTTATGTTTTCATGTAATTAACAAACATGGAGAGCTAGAACCCAGCTGCAACTCTTGCTTTCCATATATTGTAAATATTGTGTGGAAAGCAAAGACAAAGTATCAATGGTCTCCAGAATAACACAGAATCAGGTTATCTTGTGCATTCATCACAATCTGTACTCCAGTGATGTATCCACAACAGACTTCTTTTTATATCAGAAAGTACATCTATAACACTGTGATACCTGTGGATTATCATTGCATAAATAAATAAGATCATCGACTCCTAGAAAGCAGATTGGCTTTTCAGGATGTAATTTCAGCAGGGAAAATCCCTTTTTCCATGTCCAATCTCTTCTGTCCATTTCCATCCAGATCATAGCTGCTGGCAGCTTGATCATTAGGTTTCAATTCCTAACAGTATAAGAAATTCCTTAAAAAGAACAAACAAGATCCTGAAATAAACTTTTGTCCTGTCAGCCCACAGATAGGGGACAACGTTCTCTTAATGGTTTAAAAATAGGGAGATCAGTTTTAGGAAAAAAGAATGCACAAAGACAAAAAATTACCCAGCATTAGACATAATGTTGTGATATTATATTATATTTATTATATAAATTCAGTTTCATCAGGGACTGTATAGCAGAAGAGAACCTTTATCATGATACATATCATGATCAATATCCTCCCCCCAGCTCTTTCCCAGAGCATCCAGGACCACCTGTTCTTCCTTCCACTCCCACCCCTTGTAGCTTCTTTTTCTGCAGTTTTACAGTGTATCCTATCAAGGTCTAAAGTAATAAAGAGAAATATTAACTTCCTATTAACACAACAGTCACCTTTACAGAACTACTCATCTAATTTGAGATTGTAAGAGCTCCAACAAGCCACAGAGCTTTCCAGACATATCTGATCTGTCTTTAATATCTGGAAGGGAGATGTGGGTCATGCTGAGTGGCAAAATTCTCATCCTACACTAGAGAAGAAATTGTCAGGCATTTCTGAAAAATAAATTTTCAAGTGACAAGCTTGTGGCAGATGTTACCAAATGGGGCACTTTCTATTTTTTTGAGAGCAGTGCCTAAGAAGTACTGATTTTAGAGTTACACAAGCAATACTGAGGACACAATTTATTTTGGCTTTTTAAAGTTTTTTTTAAATAAATACATTTGTTAGTACACCAATTAAAATACATAGTGAAGTATCAGTTTTACATTGTCAAAAGATAATACCTGAAAGTATTTTTTTAAGTTTACTCTTAACATACACATTTAGTAAGGGAGTTCAATTTTTTTTTCCAAATTAATTGCATTTTCACTGTGTTGAACTTTAAACTACATTGTGTAACGATAAATACCTTATTTTCCAATCAGGTCCACAGGATTTATACTAGATGGTTTCCCTCGTACTTTAGATGAAGCTCAGTATTTGTCAGAACGAGGACTCTGTCCTGATGTTGCAGTTTATATTCAAGTAGAAGAAAGTGACATTCTTGACCGTCTTTTTCCTCCACGTCTGAAAAAATGGAAAGAAAGGCAGTATAAAAAAATGGAAAATAAAAAGAAGCTGAAAGACCTGAAAGCAAAAATAAGGGTAAGTTTTCAGTTCTGTCTCCTTTTTTGTAATTTCAGCACCACAGGTCTGAACACAGATTCTAAAACTCCCAAAGCAGTGAAGAGCACACAGAGAAATAGATATGGGAGTCAGGAGACACAGCCCCACACATTCACAGCATTCCTAGATTTACCATAGGAACCAAAAAGAATTTAGGGTTCCTTTCCTCCTCTGTGCAATCAATTCATGTAGGACTTTAGATGTCTCGCAGCCCAGGAAAAGTAGCTGTGCTGTGAGACAATTGGCATTCTGTCAGAATGCCAGACATCTGGAAAGCCCTGGACAAAAGGCAACTGGATGGAGAGAGTGAATATGGCCATAAAAAATCAATTACACAGCTCGCACCGTACAGTTCTTGCATCCCAGATTCCCTGAGCATGTGCTGTTGAGTTGATCTGCATCTCCCATAGGCTGACTTCATAGGTACTGTATGGTGTTATGTGTCTGCATTTCCAACTACAATACTCTGCACAGAAATGTAATAGCACTAAGCCACATTCTCAGTGCTGTTGCAGCTGCACAGTCTCCCATTCGAACAAAGCTGTGCCTACTCCTGAACAGGTTACAAATTACTTGAAGTAACCTGAAACCTCTATGGAGACATTTAGAATCAGCACATGCAATATATCAAGGTTCCTAACTTTCTATAGAAGTGAGATAAAGTACTTCAGGTGTACTATCAGAAAAGGTCTGAGCATGTTACTAAAGAGCCGCTGGCACAAGGAAGTTAGTACAACAGAATTCAGGACAAGGCTCACACAATACCAGTAAGTTTTCTGACCTGCTTGTGCCAGAGGTTGGCTCTGAGAATGCATATAATCTAGGTGAGTTAAAATATTTTTTCAGTTTAGTCTTTCCTGATGCAAGTTGCAAATCTTGCTGGAAAAGGTGCATTCTAGTGACCAGCCTACACTGCTATAGTAAGCTCAGCCTGCAAGCAGTTACTCTGATAATTCAAGTGGCAAATACCTGTGCTACAGATCCTAAGGTCCAAACTTCTAACGAACAGTATAGGCATCAATATAGCTCCTGATGACAAAGGAAAATAACAGGTTCCTATTTAAAACACATACACAAAACAGTGATACAAATTGATAGAGGCATTAAGAAGTAAGGAAGGATCAGAATCAGGATTTCCTGAGTAACAGTAATTTGATATTTTTGCTCATGTGTATTGCAACAGTTTTTAGTTACACATTGAGTATTTTTCCACAGCATCCAGTTGGTGAGCAAGTCAGTGCTGTGAGAATGCAGCATTGCTGAGTGTACTGTTAACCCTTCTTTTGTTACTAAAGCTGGAGGACAGACAGGGAGTCTGGGAAAAGCACACAGACCAGTTGAATGCTACCCTAGTTTCCTTCTCCACTGAAAGAAGCTGGCAACAGGACACTAAGCAATGAGTACACCTGCAGTGCAGTGTTGTTCAGGACCACTGGAGTTTAGTCACAGAAGTCGAGAAAATTAGTCTGTGCAGAGTTTCTTGCTGCTCTGCTTAGCATGCTCTGGTATCCAGGCCACTTCGCTTGGAGTTAACATGGATTTCTAAAATTGCACTATTGCCTTTGTGTTGACATACTCAGCTTCTCTGATCTCAGTTCAGGTGACAGCATTACAGTGTGCAGGAACAGCAGTTACAGGTTGAATCCCCATGAACCCCACTGGCCTTAAGCAGAATGCTTCTGCATATTACTTCTGAGTTAGGATTTAGCCTCAGGTATTTGACATGTATGACTGAGTATGTATGGGGGACTATATTTCAAATGCTTATAACTTGGACAAAATTGGGCAGTCCTAAACAGGCATAGGGAACAGCACACATTTAATACTATGTTCAGTCACCCCTTTGCCAAATGGCAGAAATGACCTGTAAGTTTAGAAACTCTGTCATTTACCAATAAAAATATTGTAATATTTTCAGTGTGATCAGAATCAGTGTCTCCCCCCGCCCCATCTCAATCTCAGAAGTTGCTGAATTAGTTTTACTAAAATTTACTTATATGTTCACCTAGTAGAGAGGTATATCTGGTCTGCAAAATTTCAGGCTTTATTAATTAATTAATTAATTTAACATTAGAAGGAACTGGAAACAGAGTTTTAAGGTAGAAAGAAAAACATTCATTCTAGGTCCTAATACCAATTCTCAGAGGAGAGCTTTTATTAGCAAATATCATTGTCGTCTTACATCTTTTATTCACTAACAGGATGAGAGGATTGCTAGAAGAAGGGAAGAACTTTTAGCAGAACAAAACCAAAAGAAACAGGAGGTAAGAAAACAAGCTAATACAAAAGATAAAAAAATAGAAATGTTTGCATTCATACCTTAGAAATTTCTAGAGCTTTTAGTCGCAGAGTTTTCAGGGCAAAGTAGAATAGTAAAAATGTGATAGACTGTCAGAAACTTCTACTTTCAAAAATCATTTGACGCGATGTTTAAATTGTTTTATAAACTATTGACTCGTAAACACTAAAAACAATTTTAAAAGAATTCTCAATATGTAATCCAATTCAGCAAAATACTTACGAATGTGTTTAATGTATCTAATTTGTAAGCATAAAAGTAGCCCCATTAATTGCAATTAGGCATGTGTTTTAAGTACCCTGTCAAATCCATGGTTAATCCAGAATAGGTTTGTACCACAATTTTGGCTCAAACTCAATTACAAAGTATATTTATAAATGCATTAATGTACTACTTGACTGCTCATAAAATTCTGTCAACTACACTTTCAGCTAACAAGCCTGTTTATGACAAAGTCCTGCCAAACTACAATACCATCTATGAAAAAAATACTCCTCTCATCAAAACTGCAGTGCAGCACTTCAGTTTTTTAAGCACTCTTGGAACTGGTACAATGCTTCACTGTATGCACTATGCAATACCTCTGTATTTTCTTCTGAAATTTGATTCTAGAATTCACTAGATTTTTGCTTACGATAAAGCATACCCCAAAATGAGGTTTTGTTGAATTAATGATTTTTCTAATTAAAAAAGAGACAATACCATATGTTCCTTCAAAACATCTGTATCATAGATATGAAACAACAAAATACTTTACCTTTATAGGCTTTAGCAAATAAGGAGCATTATGAAGCCACTGAGGAGGAAGATGAGAATGAAAACGAGTATGTTGAAGCCAGACTTGAGGAAGAGTTTTTAGAAGAAGAAGAAGAAGAAGAGGCTGAAGAAGAACAGGAGACTGATGCTGTTGACCGCATACAAAATGAAATTGCAGAAAAGTTTGATTCAGAAATAGATGGTTTACAAGGTGTACAGGTACCTATTCCACTGCTTATTTTGTTGAATTATATGATCTCATGATGGGAGTTTTCAGTTTTATTTGTCAAATCTAGAAGTTATAGTGCTTAAACAATTGTGCTACTGTACTCATGATCTAAATATGTAAGCAAGATGAAGGCTGTAGTGACAAGGTATATACTTTAAAAAGTATATAATTTATAAGACTAATATTGTGGGGAAAAAAACCAAAGGAACCTTTTGGGTAGACCTACCCAGTCTTGGGGTCCTTACTTCCTTTCTGGTAGGCCAGTTGATGCAGGCAACCAAACTGGAGAGTCATAACTATATGAACAGTATTTCAAAATAATTTTTAAGGCAAAATTCTTATTAGACAACTCTTTCTTATACAGTTCTTAGTAACATAATTTTCTTGAAATCAGCAATTACCTATGGTGAGGTAACCTCATCTAACTTTAGGTATCTATCTGCAATGTTAATGCCCACATCTAAGGCAGTAAGTAGATTGGTGCCATTTATTTACTATATACTAAGTATCTTACTTCAGGAGGAAACTAATCATGATTTAGAAGAAACTCTATCCACTGACCAGAGAGAAACTTTACAGAAGTAGATAGCCAAGACATAGATGTAAGATTTGCAAAATGAATCCAACCTTTATCAACACTGTAAGTGTGACTGATTCAAGTTTCACTTTATTTTAATAGTTAATGGATTAGATGTCAGATGAATCAAGAATAAACTCCTAACATTCTTTGCACTACAAGGAAGCATAAGCTGTGTGGAAAAGATTAATGTTTTGTGCTCAGAGATTCACCTTTCCATTAATTTTGGAAGAAGGTGAATTGAAAATACATTCAACTTTATACACTCAAATACATTCAAAATACATTCAACCCATAAAATGTCATCATTTTATTGAACTGTTCAATGCATATAATCATGTATCCCAATGATAATCACAAAAACAATTTTAGGGGTTCTGAATGAAGCTTGTGACGTAGCTAATTTCTCTTTTCTGAGTATAAACTGAATTTGCAAAATAGAATTGGGAAGAATTTAGAGAGACAATAAACAAGAAATCCCAGTAACAGCCTTAGCTCCTTACATGAACAATACCATGTTTCAAGTTAAAGCTAGTGGAGTTCTTGGAGGATTTTCCTCTCTGTCATTTGGGAGCATACCATTTATTGCATTAGTAAACTGACGAAAAATTTCATCAGAAAAGGAACAGGCAATTAAGAGAGACAGCAACTTTTGTTTCTCTCAAGAGGTACATAAATGTCAGTGACAAGAGAGGTGACTAGTGGTTTAGAATTTGTTATTATATTGAGTTCTGTTTACAACAGTAAGCAGAAAGATCCAAAGCTGTGGATCTATATAGATATTATATGTAAGTTGAGGAATTACACTTAAGTAGTATCATATAATAGAATTACATACTGGGACTAGATACTACTAATAACCCCTAGTTACAGCTTACTCAATATTTTTCCCATTATTTTTTTAATTCCAAGAACATTCATGCCTTTATAAATAACTTCAAATAACTTACTATTTCTGAATCATTATTCAAGACTCTTCTTTACTTGATTCTTTAATTGTTGGTCCTCTTTGACATTGCGGAATCCTGGTCTTTTATGGAAAACTAAATTATGACATTAAAACACATTAGCACTTGTAAAAGTATTAGGTTGCTAGGAAAAACTCTGTAGAAAATGGATTGGTTTTATATTTTCGTTGAATAAGCTGGGGAATAATAAGTCACCACAGAGCAGCAATATTTTTAGAGAGTAACTAAACAAGCCATCCTAAATTGTTTGGAGTAGGGAAA